GTGTATTTGTATGTGTAAATATAACAAAGCCAACTCCATTTCCATAACATTTTCCAGTGATGAACATTCTACTTTCAACTCAGTTCATTTGTGATTGTTTCTCTGAAATATTAACATTATTCTCCCTCGACATTAATTCTGAAATGTTTAATTTATGTGTACTTAACAATGTCATTGCCAACACTCACTATTGTATAATAGTATTCATTGTTCTGTATGCAAACTATTTAGCATCCAAGAGACATGGATAATAAGAACCAATGTCATGCATGACAAGAACAAAATAAAACAGGACTCTAACAGTGGGTAGGCATACAGCTGCTTGAGCATTAAGGCTGATGAGGTTTACTGCTTGCAACAAAGCACTCTTTATCACAAATTTACTGTATACTTACACACTGACAAGTTTACCATGTGTCAGCGCACCACTGGCAGGCTTACCATGTGTACACACATCACTGACAAGTTTACCATGTGTCAGCACACCACTGGCAAGCTTACCATGTGTACACACATCACTGACAAGTTTACCATGTGTCAGCGCACCAGGCAGGCTAACCATGTGTACACATATCGCTGACAAGTTTACCATGTCTCAGCGCACCAGGCAGGCTTACCATGTGTACACATATCACTGGACAAGTTTACCATGTGCCAGCACACCACTGGCAGGCTTACCCTGTGTGCTCATATCATTGACAAGTTTACTATGTGTCAGCACACCACTGGCAAGCTTACCATGTGTTCACACATCACTGACAAGTTTACCATGTGTCAGCGCACCAGGCAGGCTAACCATGTGTACACATATCGCTGACAAGTTTACCATGTGTCAGCACACCACTGGCAAGCTTACCATGTGTACACATAACGCTGACAAGTTTACCATGTCTCAGCGCACCAGGCAAGCTTACCCTGTGTGCTCATATCACTGACAAGTTTACTATGTGTAAGCACAGCACTGGCAAGCTTATCCTGTGTGCTCATATCATTGACAAGTTTACCATGTGCCAGCACACCACTGGCAGGCTTATCCTGTGTGCTCATATCATTGACAAGTTTACCATGTGCCAGCGCACCACTGGCAGGCTTATCCTGTGTGTTCATATCATTGACAAGTTTACCATGTGCCAGCGCACCACTGGCAGGCTTATCCTGTGTGCACATATCACTGACAAGTTTACCATGTGCCAGCACACCACTGGCAGGCTTATCCTGTGTGCACATATCATTGACAAGTTTACCATGTGCCAGCACAGCAATGACAAGATTAATGTGTGTGTTGGCACAGCACTGACAAGTTTACCATGTGTCATCACAGCACTGACAAATTTATCATGTATCAGCACAGCACTGACACTGACAAGTTTATCATGTGTTGGCTTAGCAGTGACAAGTCTACAGTGTGTAGGCTTAGAAGTTTATGATGTGCCAGCTATTAGCATATGCAAATTTACCATGTGTTAACACAGCACTGGAAATTTTAAAGTGAATGTGTCAATACAATATAGGCAAATTTACCATGTTTAGACATATAATTTACAAACATACCATCTGTCAACACAGCATGGACAGATTTACTGTGTGCCAATACAGCAATAACAAATTTATTATACACTCACACTGGACTGACAAGTTTACTATATATTTTTTTTTAAAGTGATAAGTGTACCATATGTTAACACAGCACAGGCACATTTACCACAAATATATTTAACATTAGAAGCATTTTATTTTCTTTTATACCTGTCATTTTATGAAAAAAAGATGACACTATGATTGAACAAGGCACAAATGTATTATTTCACCAGGCATCCTAGGCACATCATGTTCAGCACACAGTATAGGTCTGAATGAATTCTGTCAATTGTGAAAATTATCAAAAAACATTCATTCCTTGACTTTATATTCCTAAAAACAGGGTCTGCCTGGCGCAGTGGCTAAGCCATTTGCCCCACACTTTGAAGATCCTAGATTCAATTCACAGCTGCGTCATCCGGTTCACAAGTGTAATTTTTATGGAGACCCCCAGGGATCGTCTTTAGGGATATGGTGTTTGTGCTTTGTGTTGGCAAACAGATAGCCATTCTGCAGAGAGACAGAGCCATATGACATAAAACCCAGTGCAATGAAGCCAATCCTCTTGACCAGTGTTTCACAACTTTTTTTGGGGCGTTTTGTTATGTTCCATTTCCCAACTAAGCCTTTCTAAAATTGTTATGCCTCCTATGTAACTTAAACACTGGAGGAGTCCATTTTCGAATTGCCTCTCTTAACAGTCAAACTGCTCCCTTATGGGGGCGTGGATCCCAAGTTTACTACAACTTCTTTTACTTTAAACCCACATTTCAACATCAGAAAACACATGTACTTCATTAACTTGAATAATTTCTGTACTCAAACAATAGGTGAATGATTCCTGCAAAGATCTAGATAAAGGAAATGTGTAGATAATTCTTACAAAATGAATGTGTAATCTACAATCAGACACATAAAAAAAAAAAAAACTTACAAGCAACAGTGCTTGAACAACAGCAATGAGTAGAAAAATTACGAAAATAGAATTCTACTTTGTTGGCAAAAACACTGTGAAATTCTTTCTTTGAAGTTACAAATATTTGGCTTTTAATCTCTCATGCCAATGTGACCTAAGAGATACAATAATTATGACAGATTATCTACACTCTCAATAGTTTTTTTTTCTAAAGCTGAGCTGACCTAGAACCAATATCGTAGCACACAGGCTTTTCCCATAAACGCTTTATCTCCATCTTCAGCAGCCAGTGTTGAATTCCAGTGGTACCAGTAGCAGTCTGCTTTTATGTCAGCCTGCCTTTCCCCTGTGTGCTGAATGTCATCCTGCCTTTCCCCTGTGTGCTGAATGTCATTCTGCCTTTCCCCTGTGTGCTGAATGTTATCCTGCCTTTCCTCTGTGTGCTGAATGTTATCCTGCCTTTCCTCTGTGTGCTGAATGTCATCCTGCCTTTTTCCTGTGTGCTGAAAGTCATCCTGCCTTTCCTCTGTGTGCTGAATGTCATCCTGCCTTTCCCCTGCGTGCTGAATGTCATCCTGCCTTTCCCCTGCATGCTGAATGTCATCCTGCCTTTCCCCTGCGTGCTGAATGTCATCCTGCCTTTCCTCTGCGTGCTGAATGTCATCATGCCTTTCCCCTGTGTGCTGAATGTCATTCTGCCTTTCCTCTGTGTGCTGAATGTCATCCTGCCTTTCCCCTGTGTGCTGAATGTCATCCTGCCTTTCCTTTGTGTGCTGAATGTCATCCTGCCTTTCCTTTGTGTGCTGAATGTCATCCTGCCTTTCCCCTGTGTGCTGAATGTCATCCTGCCTTTCCTCTGTGTGCTGAATGTCATCCTGCCTTTCCTTTGTGTGCTGAATGTCATCCTGCCTTTCCCCTGTGTGCTGAATGTCATCCTGCCTTTCCTCTGTGTGCTGAATGTCATCCTGCCTTTCCCCTGTGTGCTGAATGTCATCCTGCCTTTCCTCTGTGTGCTGAATGTCATCCTGCCTTTCCTCTGTGTGCTGAATGTCATATTGCCTTTCCTCTGCGTGCTGAATGTCATATTGCCTTTCCTCCATGTAATGAATGCCAGCCAGAACACCCAACTCCCATTTTCCCTTTAGACTGTGAACTATTTGTGCCCTCTTCAATCCAATATTTTGGTTCTCCTTAAAACTATGGCCACATATTATGGCGGCCGGGAGAGTACGCCGGAGTTCAGTCCCCTGGCCGCATTGCAATTACGGAGTGGAAAAGGCACGACTCACAAAACAAAGCGAGGTCGACATGGCTGGTAGACCACGCGCCGTGACTCAAATTAGCGACCGTGTTCTTGCGACGCAAGACTTAGTGGCCATGAATGTGAGCAATAAGCTTGCGTGGTCGCGGTGGCTAGCTGAGCATAGAGTTATAAGGAACATGCAGGTATGTGGCTCGTGCAACCGCCCTATGTGGTTAGCGCCGCGGCAGGACTGCTGTGACAGATACTCTGGCGTTGTCGCGTTGTAATGCTCGGTGTAGCGTTCACACCGGGTAAGTTTTCGACGTTACATGTGTTACCCTAACCCTATTATGACAGCAGTGCACTGCACGCTGTCGATCGCCAACTGTTTCGTTCCCTCTTTTCCACTCTGTAATTGCAATGTGGCCAGGGGACTGAACTCCGGCATACTAACCCGGCCGCCATAATAAGTGGCCGTAGTTTTTAAGGAGAACCAATATTTTTATTTGTTTTAAATTAAAGAAAACATTCTTTATCATCTGTTTACATCATATATATTCCAGCCACAATTTTCAACAGCGCTTTGTTACTAACAAATTTCATACATGTTTTCACTGTATATATAATATAATCAGATTTCTAAACACCATGAGCACACTGTCAATCATCGCTTACGGAAGACAATACCGTATCAATATTAGCATAGTAAATGATTTCTTGTTACAGTAACTAAAAAACACATTCATCAAATGAAACCTTTCTTACATAAACATGCATACTGTGAAGTTAATGACACCTTAAATATCACATAAAGCATAGACACAAAGACAACAGATACACCCTAATTTGTCTCCTCTACACTGTAGCTAATAAGATCCTTCAAACATTTACAGCTAGCGAAGGATTTGAACACACACACATTGTGCATATTGGTATCAGTAGAGTAGGCCGTCTGCATTTATCACATGATAAAGAAGTCTCTCAGACCATACACTGTGAAACTTCTGTCAGTGTTAGATGATTCTATTTCCCACTGTCTGCATCATCAAGTGTATTTTGTCTCAAAACCATGTGGAAACATCACAGGATGTCATCACTCAATGTCTGTATATCACAAGGCTGGGATCTTGTCTCAAAGACCTTGCTTTCACTAATATTAAAACACACGTCCAGATCAACAGTTTACTAATGACCATAGTCTTTTGTGTCTCGAGCCAAAATGCAAACTATATATATATACAAGTTTACTGAGTTAGTTACAGATTATCCATGGGTTGCATCGTCTTCAACAAAATCCTCAGCTTCCTCTCTGGTAACACACTCCACGTGGCTCACCTGCAAAACACAAATTATATGCTTAAAAAAACTGAAGGCTATCAGGACAGCAAAACCTCAACGTTTTTTTTTAAACTATGCAGGTAAACCCAGTCTTGAGTGGGTACCAGGTACAGTCCTGGAAAGTGAAGGTGGCCAGCCTGAGGCTGAGCACCAAGTGCTAATTCATCATCATCATGATCAAGTGCCTTGCCATCTGATGTAGGTGTTCATGCCTCGCCACAGATCTCAGTCTCTTGTGTTCTGGATCAATTCCACTGATGATATTCCTCCATGCCACAGTCTTAAACCCTCCACCATCATTTCTCTTGTTCTGCCTCTGTTACCAGTGATCTTTCCAGTCCTCACAATATTTTCCTGATTGTTCTATAGAATATAGGTCTAGCCCTATATGCCCAACACTCGTGAAGGTGTGAATGAGGCTCCCATTACCTGGTGCACCACCACTAATTGGTTCAGCACCTCTTCTGCATCAAGAAGAAAAATCATTAAGTGCTTTACTTTCAAAGAGTGGAATATAAAGCTAGATATTTGGATCAGACTATAACCAATTAAAACACAATATGTGATGAATGAGATACATATCAGTCAAGTTAAACTACAAAGAAGAAGGGGGGGGGGGTATAAAACAGTGAATTCTTATTCAGAATTTATTATAAAAAGTTATGGAAAATAAAACTAGATAGAAAAGTTAATGTGGGGGGGGGGGGGGGGGGGGGGGGGCAGAAGACAAAAAACTTATGGCGGAAAAGGTCAGACAGAAAAGTTATGAGGGGAAAATGTAAGACAGAAAACTTATGGCGGAAAAGGTAAGACAGAAAAGTTATGGGGAAAAAGTAAGACAGAAAAGTTATGGATAAAAGTAAGACAGAAAAGTTATAGGGGAAAAGTAAGACAGAAAAGTTATAGGGAAAAAGTAAGACAGAAAAGTTATGGGAAAAGATTAGACAGAAAAGTTATGGGGAAAAGGTAAGACAGGAAAGTTATGAGGAAAAAGTAAGACAGAAAAGTTATGGGGAAAAAGTAAGACAAAAAAGTTATGGGGAAAAAGTAAGACAGAAAAGTTATGGGGAAAAAGTAAGACAGAAAAGTTACGGGGGGAAAAGTAAAACAGAAAAGTCTACTCCCATTCTTGTGTGTACAAAAGGAACTCTACAAGTAACAATATTATATTTAAAACATTACTGGAAAGAAGAAGAAAAAGGGGGGAGGGGTGGGAGAGACATGCAGATAGAGAGAAAAACAGAGAGGCAAGGGGGGATACAGATGGGGAGATTTGTTTTAAATACTAAGAATGTATGTGGTATGTTGAGAGTAACATACCTTGTTTCTGAACTTGACACCATAAAACTTGTCCGCATGCTGAAGCAACTCTGGTCTAAAGGTAGTGGTGATAAACTGAGCTTCCTGGGCCAGCTCGTGGATCATATCTGAAATAAGCAATGCTGGTAAAATACTGCACCATAACAAACACCCAGGAAAACTAAACTGAACGAAAAATAGGGATATGCCTGCTTACAACACCACCAATTAAAACATGATTAATATTGAGTGTGTCTGCATGGGAGGAGGGGGGGGGGGGGGGGGGGGGGGGGGGGTTTTACAAGTGTAATTAATTTTAGTTAACAAAGGTTTCCCTGTGTGGGTTCCTGGAGCCTCATTTTTTTAGATAGGGGAAAATCGACCCACTTCTCCTTAACAGGCATGTTGTAAAGGGCAACAAATTACTGATTTGCTGAAATTGGATGTTTGGACTGAAAGGTGCTGGTATCACAACCTAGCTGTAAATCATAACACAACCTGCCAACCATCTCTTACAAACACGAGCGCAGAAAAAAGTAAAGGTTGGTAAATACCATACTGTCTTTAAAACATCATGTATGCAGAATTCTTGGCAAAATATTAGTATTCTATAGATGTTTTTAGATATTTTTTGTCATGATGCCCTGAAGTTAATAACAGGCTGGGTGTTTCTTCCATGACAATGATCAGGCAAATAAGCTTGCAAACTCTGGAGGGAACCATCAGAAGCTCCACAAAGTGCCCAGCTTTAGAGACAAACACATTCTGGAATGGACATTAGGTGAATGAAGACTGCCGCCATAAGCAACTGCTGAGTGCCTGAGCTACCTGAAAAGTTTTATACAAAACTTCAAATCTGATTAACAGAAGAGGGAGCAAAAGTGACTCACAGTAGCGGCCCTATTAGTCACATTATAGACAAAACAGTGAAGGCCTTAGAGGGATTGTCCTGTTTGCGATAAATGCATAAACAGACATACAGAAAATACTGAACAGTAAACTATAGGGAAAAGAAGGAATAACTCAAAACTGTGTGGTGTCCATCAGCTTAGTTCTCTATGTGTTTTTTTTTAAATGCCATTATGCCTGTGATAGTAACATAATAAGAAAACTGATTAATTTTGAGGAACTTACAGCTTCATGAAGTATACAACTAGTTTTACTTGTATTATTACATTCTTAAGCTCAATCCAACAATAAAAATCAAACAAAAATTCCTCAGAGTTGATCCAAACTCTTGATCACCAGGCTAGCCAAACTCTCACCTGCAACAGCCTTTCTGTGTGTGGAGTCAAGAGCTTGGTCAATTTCATCAAAGAGGTAGAAGGGGGCTGGGTCACATTTCTGAATGGCAAAGATCAAGGTGAGTGCTACCAGAGACTTCTGGCCGCCAGAAAGTTGCTGCATGTCTCGCATCTCTGCCTTGTTGCCAACAAAGGAAACCTGACAGCACAGCAAATATATATGAAAAGTTTACTGTAAGTACATGTACTTAAACAGTAAAGCAAGTAAATGGGAAGACAATATGACAGCACCACATATTACAAATTTACAACAACCACACACCTATTTAAACAGTAAATAAAAGACAACAACAAGAAAAACTATACATGACAAGTTTATAGTAAACATACATACTAGTAAAATAAGAGAGAAAATAAATAACATGCCGCCAATAACATACATGACAAGTCTACAGTTAACACACTCACTAATAAGTTCAACTACAGAAGGGAATGCAGAATGACACTGCCATGTATCAAACATCTGCAATAAATACACAAACTAAAAACAGTAAAATATGAGAGTAAACACATAACATGATTTCACACATAACAAAAAATCTACAGTAAACACATCTACCCAGGCCCAGAGGCTATATACTCTTATGGACAATACAGAAATCTACCCAGGCCCACAGGCTATATACTCTTATGGACAATACAGAAATCTACCCAGGCCCACAGGCTATATACTCTTATGGACAATACAGAAATCTACCCAGGCCCACAGGCTATATACTCTTATGGACAATACAGAAATCTACCCAGGCCCACAGGCTATATACTCTTATGGACAATACAGAAATCTACCCAGGCCCACAGGCTATATACTCTTATGGACAATACAGAAATCTACCCAGGCCCACAGGCTATATACTCTTATGGACAATACAGAAATCTACCCAGGCCCAGAGACTAAATACTCTTATGGACAATACAGAAATCTACCAGGCCCACAGGCTATATACTCTTATGGACAATACAGAAACCAACTGACAGGTAGCCCAAATAATAATAGCCTATTGCAATCAAGACCAACTAATAACAGAAAAAGAATGAACGCTCCATCAACAATTCCAAAATATCTATTTTCTTTTCTTTTAAAAAACAAACTGTTATAACTACTCCAACAAAAAATTCTTTTCTTTTAAAAAATGAACTGCCATAATGACCAGAAAAAGTATAGATAAAAAGCCAGTCTTTAAAATTATAGGCAAGGCAGAACATTTATGGATAAAAAGCAAGACAGAAAAGTTATGGAGAAAAGGCATATCAAAAAAGTTATGGAGTAAAAGCAAATCAGAAAAGTTATTGAGAAATAGCAAGACAGACAAGTTTTGGAGAAAAAGCAAATCAGAAAAGTTATGGAGAAAAAGCACTGTTGAAAAGTCAGAGAAAAATCAAGACAGAAAAGTTATGAAAGCCATGCCAGAAGCAGCAAAAACTGATGACCTACTAACCTTGATTCCCACACCTGTGAACTGCTCAACTAGTGGGACATCTGCTTCTGCACCCTGTTTTAACAAGAAAAAAATTATTAAATAGAACAATTGAAGCGCATAATTCAAATATAAAACAGTATTATGATTTCAGAATGAGACATGTTATAAAACAGCATTATGTTTGAAGTATAAAGCAGCATTATATTTGGTTACTATAAAATAGCATTATGTTTTCAATTTAAGATGTGTTGAACAGTACTGGTTTTAGAACCAGGTATATTGTAAAAAACAGCATTGTGTATTGAGCATGAAATATTACTATATAGCATTTTTATTACAGCAGATGGTATGTTAAGTCAAAATTTGCAATGTGTGTAAATTTTAGTCTTGTTTTTCCAGTCCCTGCAGATAATTTACACAGGTTTGCTTCCCCTCAAAAACTTCCACTATCATCCTGCCATGCCATTTATTCGACACACTGGGTGTCGCAATCTATCTCTCCATTCTGTTCTATCCTGAGTGATCATTTAAATATGGATAGAATGCAGTCCAGTGCCTTGGCCTCTCTTATTTACATTCTTTGCAGAGCTTCTAATATATATATACCCTTCAGGGACTTACAAATACATTTTTAGCGTATTTTTCCATCTGGGGACAAAAAATACTAAGAAAACTCATTGTGAGCTACTTTCAAACTACTACTTCAGTTTCGTATTAATGTTGGATGTAGAAATGCCTGTGCTACAAAACCCAGCAATCACAATAAACAGCCCCCCGTGTGAGTTCCGGGGCCCCATTGTGGGGAAAACAAGAATAGACCCACTGCCTCCCCAAAAGCATGTCGTAAGAGTCGACTAATTGGGGAGCTTCCTTTGAATTCGGAGTGCATCTGCCGGAGAGGCAAGGAACCAACAGTGTGTATTCAAGAAAATGAGATCTGTTAAACTGATGCACACGTAACACTCAGCTTCTGGAGCAGGACTGCAGTTCAGTAGTGGATGAGCAACCAGAACCTTCCGCCAGAGTTTACAGCTGGTGAACGCGAAGAAGAAGAAGAAGACAATAAACAGCTCCATGTGTGAAGGAAGAAAAGCTCTTTTAACAAGTATTTTATTTTTTAAAGGCGGCTAATCAAAAAAGTTAAGTAAAAATGTAAAGGTCTCTTTTCCACGCCTTTAGGCATTTAGGCATATATTTTTAAAGACCAATCGGCACAAGATGGGTGATGTGGTCAGCATCACGCAAGCCATTGTTACTTTCCAAGACTGCACCCGGTACTCACTCAAGGCTGGGTCGACCTGGGAGTGAAGGTCATTTTTTTTTTCAAAGTCCAGTTCCGCCAGGGAGCGAACCCACGACCTTCCGATCCGCATGCGAGCGTCTAGCCGCTACGCCACGCCGACCCCCTGGCTAATCAAAGATTTTCTCAAATTGGGTCTGTTGAGCTGAAAGGCACAGTAACCCGAGCCAGCTGTAAACCACAATAAAATGTCAACCGTCCTTTACAGTGTAGAAAAAACCCCTGTGTGGTTTCTGGGGTCCCATTGTGGGGAAAACAAGAATAGACCCACTGCCTCCCCAAAAGCATGTCGTAAGAGTCGACTAATTGGGGAGCTTCCTTTGAAGTCGGAGTGCATTTGCCGGAGAGGCAAGGAACTAACAGTCTGTATTCAAGAGAATGAGATCTGTAAAACTGATGCACACGCAACACTCAGGTTCTGGAGCAGGACTGCAGTTCAGTAATGGACGAGCAACCAGAACTTTCCGCCGGAGTGTACAGCTGGTGAACGCAAAGAAGAAGAAGAAGAAGTGTAGAGAAAGAAGACAACAAAACACTAACAGTACTCACATCTCCTTCTATCTCTCCTTTCTTCATCACAAGCACCCCATGACCTTGAGGTACTAACTTTTTGAAGATTTCACTAAAATACCGAGACACCTGTAAGCAATATTCAAAGTTTCAATTACTGACAAAAACAAATGTGTGTGTGTGTGTGTGTGTGTATTTCTAATCTAATGAAGTCTTCACACAGAAAACAGTGGAAAGCATAAAGACCATTTACTAAATTTATTTATAAATGTCCAACAATTCAAAATTCTATCTCTGATTTAGTGTATTTCTATAAAAATAATCACTGCATAAGTGATTTACTTACAAATATTTTCTGATTTACTTACAAAATACTTTTTAATTTACTTTCAAACTACTCTGTTTTTATTTATTTTTTATTTACATAGAAAACATTGATTTACAAACAAAATATAGCGTCCAATGTGCAGTAAATAAAAACTGTAAAAGAGCCCTTCTCTTCCAGCAGGCAATCTGGCATATGTTGCTAGACTCATGTATTTTATAGACCAGTGTTTCCCAATCTTGTCTTAGTCACTGCGCCTTTTTTAAATTTACAATTTGTCCACCTAAGTCAAGTATGACGATTCGTATGTTAGTTAGTTGCATATCCTTTACAGGATATTACAGAACCAACCCCAGCATTTTTTGGCTGTTTTGGTTTTTCTAGGCAAATTTATGTCCAGTAGTTTGCCATTGCCTTCTTCTGGACGGTCAGCTTCTCGATACAACTGTCGAAACCAACGCAAGGCCCGCAGCTGGGATCGAACCCGGCACCCTGAGATTATGAAACTGTTTCGCAACGCCTAAGCCACAGACGCTGACATCCGTATGTAAGAGAAAAACAAAAAATTTAACTCATGTATCTTCGAACATTTCGAGGCGCCCCTGTGAACAGGTCGCGGCTCCCCCGCGCACAGTTTGGGAATAATTGTTATAGACCAATCAGCACTGGATGGGTGATGATGTCAGCCCCACGTCTATTTCTCGAGACCATTTTAGGCTGGATCAACCTGGTAGCCAGGGTCCAATATACAAAATTTTCACAAAGCCAGTATGGATTCAAATATATAAGACCTTTGCGATAAAGGTAAATATAAAGGGTTAAAAGTAAAATATATCAAACCTGCTTGAATGTCAGTTGTATAGCCTCGTACTTTCTGTGGTCTAAAGCATTCATCAGATCTATGATCGACTGAAAGAAAGAGGACGCAAAGTTATTTCCACTTACTGTTGTAAATCTCCTAAAACATTTTGCAATAGATTTTAGTTAATGGCCTATTTTTGAGGCAATCAAACAATATGAAACACCTTTCCAGTTCAATTCAAAAGTTTATATGAAATATTTTTTGTTTACACTTTAGAAACTGACTTACTTAAACAACTATAGCTATTTTATCTTAGCTAATCAACGACATGCCTGTCTCTAATTAACTTTCAACAAATGTTACTTTTATAACTTGCCTATTAATAACTATTTTTTTAATACAGTACCAAGCAGATATCTGATCAAGTCAGGTAATGAATAATTTTATTTAAAAAAATAGTATATAAGAAAAGGAATTCAGCAGGAAATTAGGACAGGTAGTAGTGTATTAGAGAATTGTAGACAAATCTAACTATCCTCAGTCATTGTGGTAAACTGTCCCTACTGCAGACAACTTGAGCAAACTCCTGATATGTTCCCACTAGTTAGGAAAATATCCAGACTCCAGCAGATTTAACTCTATGCGTTAATTCTTCTTTCAATTGTAGCATATTTATCCTTATATATATTCTGTGTGAGTCCATATTCTATACTTTTATCCTATGAGGAAATGCAACCTGAGAACTTAGATGTTATGGTAGATCACACCAGGCCTTGGTTAGCAGATCAGATCAGGCCTTGGTTAGCAGCTGATCTAGGAGCAAAGCTGCCACAGGCAATCAGACAAAGCAGTACTCTTCTGATCCAGCAGCTTCTGCAGCACACTTTGTCCCATAGTACTGGTGTTAAAACTGTTTAAAGGCAGGCTGAGAGAGGGATCATGCTGTCTGTTTGGATAACACATGATCTCTAAAATACTGTTCTGGCTTTGCATTCCCATGCCTCCTTATAGCAAAGTAACATTATCATCTGTGAGCTGCTATATGCTCGCCTGCAGACTGGAGTCATGGTTTCAGGTCTTGAGTGGCCGGAATATATTTTTTTCCCTCAAAAATTACCTTGCTCCTAGGTCTACTTAGCCTTAAATGGGTGCTAGGGACAGTCCTAAGAAGTGAAGGTGCTTGGCGTGATGCTGACCACATCACCCACCGAGGGCCGATAGGTCTATAAAATATATGTTTAGCCCTATACGCCTGAAGGCATTAAAAAGGGCCCTTATAACATTATCATCTGGAAAGACCGAAAGTGCCCCCCTCCTCCCCAAAAAGGGAACAGTTCTTTACTCCCTTGATAGGTTCACCCAAATCTTGTATAACAGCTCTTTCACCACTTGAAACAAAATACAGGAGACACCTTCTGAAAGTTTAAGATGCCTATGCACATTACAATAAAGAGAGTATGATTAAGTAGATTATTGTAACATTAAAAAAAAACTACTTAATATGCAGATAGTTAGATGCGTATACTTTACAGGACGTTGGAGAACCAGCCCCAGCATCGTTTGGATGTTGTTTTGCTATGCAAATTGACATCCAGTAGTATGCCACTGCTTTCTGGACAGTCGACTCTCGATGGCATTGTCACAACCAATGCAAGGTGGTATACGCCAGATCGCCTGCAGCTGGGATCGCACCAGGCACTCTGGTGTTGCGTAGCGCATTCTCAACGCCTAAGCCATAGATGCTGACTAAATTTACATATAAGGATGCATGATTACCTGTTGTGCACTGTCCAGTTCCTCTTTTCTTTTCATCAACTTTTCCTTCTGTTCTGAAAAACTGACAAACTGGTCCAGGGCTTTCTTATTGACATGGTTGTATTTCTTCAGCTGCTGATTGCAACTTTCCAACTTCTTGAACAGCTGGGAATACAGAAAAAGATATCAAAACCACAAGGTCGCAGAGAGTTTATTCTTATAACATAGAGAGTTTATTTTTATAATAGAGAGAGAGTTTATTTTGTAACTTCAGGGCCCATTACCAATATCTGAGGCAGGTGAGCACCAGAGTGCTGGTTCCATTTTTAAATAAACTAATCAGCACTTACCTGATGTGGTTTTCTTAGCGTTCACTGGCTGTCAACTCTGGGGGAAAGTTCTGGGCATTCCTTCACATCCAGGCTTTATTCTTGCTTCAGAGCCTGAGTGTTGCATGCCCATCCATTTCATATACCTGGCTTATTTATATGCAGATTCTTGGTTCCTTGCCGCTTAGGCAAATATACTTTGACTTGGAAGGATGCCCCCAATTAGTCGACTTCTAAGACATGATTGTTAGAGAGGTCTATTCTTGTTTTCCCCATAATGGGGCATCTGATGTATCCGATACCCTATTACCTGCCTTTACTTCCTAAAACATTTTCTGTATCGGTTATTAGGCTGGTCAACTTGACAGCCCAATTCAATGTTTAAAATATGCCTCAAACAGAGATTCAAACCTAAGACCAATCGGCCGACATACAAGTATGCTATCCATGGCTCTACTATGACACCAACTGTGAATACAGTTAAGCTAAACTGTCACTTCTGAACATCTGAGATTGTTATCTTATGACTGTCTTTTAGTTAGTAAAACAACTGCAATAAAATATTTTTAAGACGTGCGGAGGCATCCTTGTAAAAACTTTTCCAGAGGGGTATTGGCGTACAGCGTATACAATCCTAGACACTTAATTTTTAATCCGACTGTCTGCTGGCCGGTGAGGCGGTCGACATCATGCCGGCTGCTATTACTTCTCAGGACTTTACTTGGTACCCGTTAAAGGCAGTGTCAATCTGAGAGCCCAGGTCTGAAAACAATCCACCTCCATACAGATTTGGATCTGCAGGTGGCATCTAGCAGCTATACAACGGCGGCTTCCCAAAGCACATCTTTGATCAAAGTTACTAACAAACCATTCTTGACTTAGGCATCCATGGTTTTACATCTTAACAAATCTGATAAAATTCTGGTTGAAAAGAAACAATGCAAAGTAATGTTTCTGCTGAGTGGTCCAATAAAGGTAAAACACTACAAAATATCATCATGGTCCCTGAAATGTCAAAGTCACAAAATATCTTCTGCAAATTCTTTCCTGCTTTTCATTTCTCCTGTGGAGATCACTTTAACCAGATCATACTGTTCATGACTGACTGTATTTTGCAGCTATGGGATGTGATAGGTAGCCAGTCTCATATTAACCCCTTAGTCACTTATTTTTATATAAGTTTCAGTTTTTCTATTTCTGTTTGCTACCCTTTTGGAAACGAGTCACACGCTGGCAACAGGTCTATTCGGCAGCATTCAATGGGTAATGGGGTCAAAACCATGACAGCTGTCTTTACTTCCTAGGACAATTCCTTGAGTTCATTTTAGTTGGGTCTTCTTGGGAGCCAAAGCAAATTTTTTAAAAATATATTTTATAATCAGCCTAGTGTCCTACCCTACATCTTCACATCAGCAGGTGAGCTTCTAGTCACTAAGCTACCACAAGCTATCTATCCTAGGTCCTGTTTACATGAACAAACTATAATGAGACTTCACCTGTTTTAATGACAAATTCTGGTATTTCTCAAAAGCATCTGAAGGCAAGGAACCAAGTTCTCTGATTTTCTGCATGCATTCGTCTTTCTGCAACACAGAAAGCATACAGACATAATGATATCAGTATATCTGAATAAGAATTAGTCAGGGTTTGTCATTAAGTTCTTCAAGAATCATTTTAAAAAACTTTGTAAACTGATTACAGTAATTAGATGAAAATGGTGAAGTTCTTCAGGCATGAGAAAGTCAGGGAAAAACTTTGTGAGCTTGGCCACAAAGCAAAAATGAGACACACACAAAACACAGACCTCGTACGAGACTGGTAATTGTGTGAGACTGCGAACAATGGATATCCACAATCATAAGATAAAGAAGATTGTGCTTTACTGAGCACATCATGAGAAGCACCAAAACAAGCACTGGAATAAGGAACAGATGCACTGAGGAAACAAGGACAACAAAGAGAAACTCTTGAATGAACACAGCTGAGAAGTCAAAGATGCCGGACTGGATTCCACCCATGATATCAAGAGAGAACAGGATCAAACTGAATGACTAGATGGCAAGGCTTATGTGATGTAATGGCACAGGTGGCTTATGTGATGTATAATGGCACAGGTGGCTTATGTGATGTATAATGGCACAGGTAGCTTATGTGATGTATAATGGCACAGGTGGCTTATGTGATGTAATGGCACAGGTGGCTTATGTGATGTAATGGCACAGGTAGCTTATGTGATGTATAATGGCACAGGTGGCTTATGTGATGTATAATGGCACAGGTGGCTTATGTGATGTAATGGCACAGGTGGCTTATGTGATGTATAATGGCACAGGTGGCTTATGTGATGTATAATGGCACAGGTAGCTTATGTGATGTAATGGCACAGGTGGCTTATGTGATGTATAATGGCACAGGTGGCTTATGTGATGTATAATGGCACAGGTGGCTTATGTGATGTATAATGGCACAGGTAGCTTATGTGATGTTATGGCACAGGTGGCTTATGTGATGTAATGGCACAGGTGGCTTATGTGATGTATAATGGCACAGGTGGCTTATGTGATGTATAATGGCACAGGTGGCTTATGTGATGTATAATGGCACAGGTGGCTTATGTGATGTATAATGGCACAGGTGGCTTATGTGATGTATAATGGCACAGGTGGCTTATGTGATGTAATGGCACAGGTGGCTTATGTGATGTATAATGGCACAGGTGGCTTATGTGATGTATAATGGCACAGGTGGCTTATGTGATGTATAATGGCACAGGTGGCTTATGTGATGTATAATGGCACAAAAGGGTTATGTGATGTATAATGGCACAAAAGGGTTATGTGATGTATAATGGCACAAAAGGATTATGTGATTATAACGGCACAAACAGATTATGAAGATGGTTGCAGACCACGATCGTCCATGTTTATCAACATAGCACATGATGTTGAGCTGTATTTTATCCTGGGACAAATGTGTAACCTGGGATGCTTAAAGTCTATAGCAGGGCTATTATTCAACTGGCAGCCCTTGTGCCAAGCTGGCACATGAAGGCTTAGCAAGTGGCCAACAGATCACTGCCTGTAGTACTGTATTAGGGATCTTTTCTATGCTGTGGCTGTAAGCCTGTGATGATCCTCATTTTCTAAATTCTGGCTCCTGGGTAAATTTAGTATAATAGCCTTGGTCTATAGCATATACTCTTGAATTCATACATCAGTTCCTTGGTCTTTCTCTAGCACCACAACCAGAGACTTCTTCTGCAGTAGCTAACCTGGCTTTAGCATCAAATGATATCCAAAGCATTTCACATGTTGTTCCTCTACACATTCAATGCATACAGTTATACCTGTGATATTTCAAATGACATTCAATTCTGGGGGATTCCTTTGACATTGAAACAGCATGACAAATACAGCCACAATTTTGGGGGACCCCTTTGACACTGAAACAGCATGACAAATAGAGCCACAATTTTGAGGGATCCCTGGGACATTGAAACAGCATGACAAATACAGCCACTGGAATAAACTCTTGAAAGCAGTTAATTTATTTTCTCAAGATGCCCCAGTCTTCTGATGTGTGTCGAATCTGTGTTTCACTGAGAACAGGTATATTGGCTAGATAATACATGAGAAGGGTTAATAATACCTGAGTTTACTGAGACTTTTCATGGCTAGACCAAGCATTTGAATGTGAAGCTTTGGTCAGCTTGAGTCCTGGGATAACCGGCATGATATGCAGGTGGCTATGCTGCAAAATGCTGACACACAGAGGTAACTTTGGCAAGTCTTAAGGATAAGGCAGTTGGGGAGGAAATTGTCCTAATGCGAGGATGTGTAGTATTCCTTTGCTAGTTGATAGAAAATTGTCCTACTGTGAGGACGTGTAGTGTTCCTCCGCTAAATAAGAGGAAACTGTCCTATTGCGAGGGCGTGTAGTGTTCCTTCACTGGTCGACTAGAAAATAGTTCTCATGCGAGGACGTGTAGCGTTCCTCGTTGGTGTTCTGGCTCAGGACTGTATGTTGGGGAGACTTAGTGCAGTTAGCAAAGTCTCAAAGTAGCAAAGAGAAAGAAAGAAAGAAAGAAAGAAAGAGTGAGAGAGAGAGAGAGAGAGAGAGAGAGAGAGAGAGAGAGAGAGAGAGAGAGAGAGAGAGAGAGAGAGAGAGAGAGAGAGAGAGAGAGAGAGAGAGAGAGAGAGAGAGAGTGTGTACACATATATGCATAGCTGTATTATTATATTATACCAGCCTTGTTTTTGTGTATTTTACTTGACATTTTAATTATTTATATTGTTATTTTGGCAAACATTCTTTACAGTCAAAATACAGTAGTCGTTTAAAAGATGAGTACCTGGAAGGGCCCAATGTAAGAAGGGCCTGCATGCCCAATATGTGATCCTTTGAAAAATGAAATTCGTTCATTCATTCACACTTTCTAGCTAATCACCTGGTACCCATTTCAGACGGATGACTTGTAAGCCAAGGTCAGTTTTGAAAAAAATTCCAGCTCTGTAAAGAATTGAACCCTGGACCTTTTGACTGGTGGGCTAGCATCTAGCCTCTATGCTACTGCAGCTCCCCTGTGCTGCAGCCTAATTATAATTAGCTTCAAAGGTCCTTGGTAGTAAGCGTCTTTGGGTATTTTCTCCAGGTTATGCCGGTGTGTTGGGAAACATGCAGGCAGATAGAATTGCCAGTTCTGCACCACCTGGTGGTGAAATGATGTATGACAAGCTAGATGCTGCGAGGGCCCTTTAGGAGCGAGTGAGCAGTGCAGAGGTACAAACAGATCATTACGGTCTGAGGAAAATGGCGCTGCAAGGAGCTACAAGAGTATCTGGCCAACGCTCAACAATCAAGGGAAAGCAAGATTGATAAACAATCAGACAGTTACTGGTGCCATCGGACGCGGAACTCTCTGCTTGCTACTGAAGATGGGGACACAGCGCTTATAGTAGTGTCCCTAGTGCTGTGATGTCAATTCTTGATTCAACAAGTGTACATATTCAGCAATATAATTAGCCCACTCTCTTCTTTTCTAACTGTAATTGCTAAGTGAGTTGTTGTGTACACAACATGCACACAGCTCTTCCTATTTTCTCCCACATATTCTTGGCGGCAAAGGTATCCAACCTCAGGCAACGGAGATTGAGTATATAACATCTCATCATTCCATATCTTGAAAAAGTCTACAGAATGCTTCTTGAGTTACACTCAACCCCATACTTCTAAGCCAACCCAATTTTATTTCTGTCATTCTATCAAACATAAATGCTCATTTAACTCCTGCCCCTATCAACTGCCATGTACACAAATGTCATACAAATTGGATACAAACCTTTTTAATGAGTAAACTTTGCTTTTGTGAGATTTTATCCAGCTCTTTAGAATCATCACCTATCTTATCCTGTATATCTTTCTCTTTTCCCTGTGGATTCATTATTCACAATAATAACCAGTCAATATCAGACAAGCAGCAGGTATAAAAACATACCTAGGGAGGAAGAAAACAGAGAGGTAAGATGAAAGAAAAGAGGGTGTGTGAGACAGAGAAGATAAGTGAAAAGTGAGCATGAGAAAGAAAGATTGAGAGAAGATAAAGAAAAAGAGGGTGTGTGAGTGAGATAGAGAGAGAGAGAGAGAGAGAGAGAGAGAGAGAGAGAGAGAGAGAGAGAGAGAGAGAGAGAGAGAGAGAGAGAGAGAGAGAGAGAGAGAGAGAGAGAGAGAGAGAGAGAGAGAGAGAGAGAGAGAGAGAGAGAGAGAGAGAGAGAGAGAGAGAGAGAGAGAGATGTTCAACTTTCTGAATCTTGTGCATGCATCATATATGCACCATTAAACTTCATGCTTAACATAGCCATTAAACTTTTTTTTTTAAAGGAATTTAATTTCAAAACACGCTACACCTAATTAATTACTATATCTTCTGAAAAGACAAGAGTACTGTAATTCTTAAACCCCACATAAGCTCTGTAAGGAGAAGAAAGCAATGAATTAATGTCAGTTATACATATTAATCACTAATGTTGAGCTTTTGGAGAGAACTAAACAAGTTCCAGTCAACCAAGAGGTGAAGAAAAGATGCTGGTGTTGGATAGGACATATATTTAGAAAACCTGAGAACAACAGAATGTCTTTGCACCGGAACCCTACTAGGCACAGAAATAAAGGAAGACCCACACACAAAAAAACATGGAGAAGGGAACTAGAGAGTGAAGTTAAAAAAAATGGTGAGGACATGGGGAGAGCTGCTTGTGTCAGCGAAGGATAGAATGACTTGGTTTGAGTTGGTTAAGGGCCTATGCTCCATTGGGGGCTAGAAAGGCAGAAGAAAAGAAAACATGTTAATTCAATATTAAAAATTTTTCAAACAACATGTAATTACCCTCCACAATTCTAGTTGGGTTTGGAGCTGCTTCTGTTCTTTGTTGAGTTTTTCAATGCTTGTATCTATTTCTGAAAGCAGTGAGAATAACAGTTTTCAGTCTTAGCTCAAGCAATTTCCCATTAACTTTATTTATTATTTACAGTGTACATTTACATCTGAACTCTTACCAAAGAATGGTGTGTAATATTTGGGGGATCTGGCCCACACATGACACTCAAGGTAAAGCCAAGACAGACATACAAATCAGATTCCTCATACAAATCAGATTCCTAAGGATGCCATTGGAACGTCAGCCTCTGTGGCTTAGGCATTGCGAACGAGCTTCATAATGCTGAGTTTATCCCAGCTGCAGGCCTTGCGCTAGTTTTGAAAGTGGTATCGAGAAGCCGACCATCTAAAAAGCAATGGCAAACTACTGGACGTAAGTTGCCTAGAAAAATCACAACAACCAAAAATTTTGGGGTTGGTTCTGCAACGTCCTGTAAAGGATATGCAACAACTGACAATTGGAACTGGAACTCTGTGCTGGCTGCTGTAGATGGAGATGGAGCTATGGGAATGTTCCAAGTGCTATAATGTCTGTTCCTAACTAAATGTTTGGGCTGAGCATGCTAAAGAAACCCTTTGCCGGCCTGGAATCTAGCCCAACTTTGTACATGCACCTTATAAGCCATTTGTTCATCACAATGATGTAGTTGTGTTTTGTCTGTTTACAACAAACCTGCAACATTTGCTGACTACAGCAATTTTTTTTTTTTTTTTTTACTTAATTGAGACATGTGATGGATATTTAAACCTAACTATAATTCAGCAGGGACTGTCAGAGTAAGACACCATAGAGTGAAAATGTATCCCTAATATCTACGTTCAAAGACAGAGTGAACTGAATAAGAAGATCAAGATGGTGTTGAGATAGATGAGCGAAATTAGTTAATGACCACCTAAGTGTCTGGTAAAATCACAAAGGGTTAACAAATTCTGGGGCTGTTTTGCAGTCCCATAAAGGATTACACAATTAACTTAACCCCGTCGTCTCAAGAAGCTGTAAATCCCACAATTCAGGTTGAGTAACGTTTCCAGTAAATGTCACTTTTCCGACTTGTCTAGAGTGGCATGAAGCATAGCTAATTCTTTGGCTTAGATTGTGCGTGCACATACGTTTAGGAGGTTCACTATCATGTAGCAGGTCCTTTGCAGAAACGTCATGGTCTGCCTGGGAAACAAAAATGGCTCTCCCCAGCTCTCCCGCTTCATGTACATGCATATTCAAGGAGTTACTTATATCCTGAGCCCATCTTCGTGCTGATCGGCTCCTGCCCTCTTTTCTGGTAACATGCCTTCTGCTATTATTTTTTTACAATCCGCCGTGGCGCTTAATATGACCAAAATATTTCAATTTCTGAGACAAAATGCTGCTTATTAGTTAATCTTCCTTGATGTTCAAATCTGTTAAAACATCAGTATTTCTCGTCTTCTTTGTACATGGTATTCTGAGAATTTTCTATAGATTTAAGCTCAAAAGACCATTTTTTTTTTCTTAAGCACTGGGAGATACTCCAGGACTCACAGCTGTATGTTGCTAAAGGAAAGAAGCATGCTCTCAAAATTTTTATTTTCTTGCTGATGCTTAACCATAGACTTTTAATGCCGTTTAATCTTTAAATTTTGATAGCCATCCTCCTTTTATTTCTGTCCAACAGTTTCCATTGCTTTTTATCTTAGAGCCAAGGGGGGCTGCGTGGTCTTGAGCCATGGTGTCCACCTCGAGTGCTAGAGGTTTCAGGTTCAATCCCCGGTAAGGGCTGGGATTTTTTTCACGAGGACTTGGCTTCTAGCAATTCCCCCTGGTCTCTGAGGTAGTAAGACTGGACGCTCGTGCACATTGTTGTGCGTGTAAAAAATCCCTTGGCAGTTAGAAATCGAAAAGAGTAGCCTAACGGCGCTGCCCAGGCAAAATTTTGAGTTTAAAATCTACCTAAAGTATTACAGGATCCTTGCCGGTGCTACAGAGCCTGTGCACTGTGCTGAGCGTCTTTGAACTCAGACTTGAGTTAGAAGAAGAACGGAACACTTATTGTTTACTACCCGTGTGCCGTGATGTGAACCGTTGTTCAAACCTCATAGAGCCTAGATAATCAAAGTTTTCTAACATTTTCAATTTCTTTGTCATTGAATATTATTTTTGGGTGATAGCCAGTTTTCTCTGTGGACATTATTTTTGTTTTCTTTAAATTCAAAAATAGGTTTTAATCTGCAATGAGTTTTTTTGGACAGACATGATTAAATGTTCTTTTCCATTTAAACTGTTCAAAGGGAGGACAGTATCAACTGCATTCTGAAGTTCTGGAAAAGGTTTGCCACCAATTATAAACAGTTCATTACAGTCACAAGTCTGCTAATTTTTGACATTTGTCAATATATTTTCAGCAAATATATTGAATAGGTATGGTGAGAGAATGCACCCCTGCCTCACTCTTGCACCTCAAACTAATTCGATGTTTCACCAGCTGCACTGATGGCTGCTGCTTGTTTTTGATTTAAATTTTCAATTAAATGCACTAAATGTGCTAGAAACACCATACTTCTCATAATACTCCACAATTTTTTATGTGGAGACAATCAAATGCTTTGCTATAATCAGTGAAACAAGCAGGGAAATCTAAGCTGTATTCTCTACATTTTTCAAAAATTATTCTCATATTAAAGATGTTATCCCTAGTTCCTCTCCTTAGTCTGAAATCGGCTTGTGCTTCATGTTGCTCATACTGCAGTTACCCTTCAATCCTCTTCATAATAATTCATAAGAGGATTTTGCTAGCATGAATGAATGTGATGATATAGTAGTTGGAGCATAGTTTCAGGCTTCCTTTTTTTTAGGGGGTTAGGATCTGAATATAATTACTAAAAACAGCATTTGGGTGTTTTCTTGTGAGCCAAATAGCCTTTTTTTTTAAAAGCCAGGTTAATGTCAAATTTCTCTGTAAGCCTCAGTGATAGAGGCTGCAGCACGAGTCACCCAATAAATATTGGGTACAACATGGAATATATTGTATTGAATGCTTCACTCTGGTCATATTTACTGATAACCTAATATATCTTTACAAATAAAATTTATTAGTGACCTGTGTAAAATTGGTTAATTTTTGTTAAAGGATTAGGAAAGGGGGGGGGGGGGGGGGGGGGGGGGTTTAGATGTCAGGAATTCCTATGAGGCCATGACGTAACCATGGGGACAGGGTTCACTTCTTTAATCCTCTAAATGCAAACATAAACCATTCAGTTTAACATGTATCTCACCTGCCATGCTTGTTTCAAGCTCAGCCATACGTTTCTCTACCTCGATCTTTTCAGTCCTATAATTGGTGAGTCTTTTGTCCTGCTCCTCCAGACTAACTTCTCTCAGTTCCTGCTGTAGTCTTTCTCGCTTCTTTGTTAGGTTGTTGTTTAGAATATTCTCTAGCTTGTTCTTCTCCGCTTCCAACTGAGACGAATGCAGAAAACAAAGTTGTGAAATACACAATCAGGAATTTGCTAACTGGCAACAAGTGTCTGCAATGTTGAATTTTAGTATAACAGTGTTCCACTGGGCATCTTTTCTCAAATTATATATTTAAAACACAGAGTTGAGTTGAGTCAAGAATTGACATCTCAGCACTCGGGGCATTCCCATGCATGTTCAATCCTCATCTTCAGCAGCCAGCGCAGTTCTAATACTGATGGTACCGGTCATAATCTGGTTATATGTCTGTCTTGCCTTTCCTCTGAGTGTAATGAGCCGGCCAGACCCTCTGGTTACATCCAGGTGCCTCATTCTCTCTCTGTAATTAAATCACAGAGGTACAGTGATAAGTTTGCTCACTTATCATTACCAACAAAATGGAAGTTCAATTTTCTGACACCTTGAAAAAGAAAAAAAAACTGAATATGCACAACGTGTGATAATAATGGGAAAAGACTGGCATTGACAGCCGACCGTTCATAAAGCACTGGCAAACTACTGAAAGCAAAATCACCTAGTAAAATCACAAACAGAAAAGAAAAAAATGCTGGGGTTGGTTCTGCAACGTCCTGTAATGCAGTGTTCTTCAACCTTTAGGCCGTGGCCCAGTGGTGAGCCGCCAATAAACTGTGCTTCAACATGTAACAAAGTAGGTCATGTTATTTTCTATTCCTGTCTGTAGGATTAACATCTCAAAGACTTCCAATCTCTGGGAAAAGACTTTCTCAGGCAGTTTCTGAGCAGCAGTGGATGCCTCACTAGCTAAAAGCTGTAATTCTGTGATCTCCGATTTAACATAATAAAATACTGCCTACATTTGGTTTTGTTTCGTGCTTGGTTGGGTGGGTCGTGAAACAATTTCCCATTCTAGTAGGTTGTGGGTGTGAAAAGGTGGAAAAATACTGCCGTAAAGCACACACAAATAAATTGATCTGAAAAGCCGATGTCAATTATAAAAACCTGTCTTGTCACAGATTCCAACCCCTAGAACCCCTAGACTGTTGTATCAACACGATTATTTTTAAAAAGCACTTACTTTTATTCTTTCCTGCCAGGCAGCTCTGTTTTCTTGGGTGAGTTTATTTATCTGATCATTGAGCACATCAACCTGCCGCTGGTCCTCCACGGTGAGTTGAGACTGAAGTTCTGTGCCGAGCTCTTCTTTCAGCGCATCTGCCTGCCCTTTCATAGCCTGTAAACTGGACTCTAAACTTGCAACACTTTTTACCTGTGGCAGACACAATCATAATTGGCGTCAGTATAAACCCATCAAGTTTTTTGTGTAGATAATTTCTTTGCAAAAAATGTTTTCAAAAGTGTTTTTTCCTGTTTGAATATATTTGTTTAATATCACCAACATTCTCTTGTGCCAGTTTACATCACATACGGTTCAGTCTAGTCCTACTTTCAGTTCTACGCTGTGCAAGCCTTTCTGTATTATTGATGGAATCATTTGCAGCATCTTTGACCTCTTTCGACAAGTTCATCTTAAGGTTTCTTTTAGATGTCCTTGTTCCCTTAATCTATTTATTTCCCACTGCAGTGCCTGTTTGGCGAATCTCTGTTCATTTCTTCTCATGATATGCCCAATATATTGCCATCTTTTATGTCCAACTGTTGTGACTTTTTTCTTATATCTTCACCTTTATGCCCCCCCCCCCCTCCCCCATTTAGTGATCATCACTTTTCTTAGGCTTTTGTTTTTCTGAATGCATTTATCTTTTGTTACATATCTTTAACTTTTTAGTTCTTCAGCTTTTACTGGCAAGTGTTAAAATGGAACTATCAGAAGCAAAAAAAAATTAAAAAATCATTTGTTTTAAAACTATACACACACACACACATGTTTAAACAAAAAGTTTTCTAAATAAATTTTCCTTCTCATTTACGACACAAATTTCAAAAGTTATTTTCAGTTGGAACATCACTTGCCATAAATTAAAATACAGATCCAGTCGATATTTCATACACTAAATTACCGTCCGATTTTTTCTTAAGTAAGAGTGTTTTCCCTTCTCCATCCGCTCATACCAGGGCAGCTGGCGTGCTGTGTTGTAGCTTACAGCAAGGCTGCGATATCTACACATCAGATTTCAGCAAACCCCTAATTAGTCTATTTCAACATATTTTAATGTGAAACACCAAGAAAAAAAATGCTTCTTGGGCAACTTAACACTAATTGATACAGCTAGAGATCCCTAAATTAGTTAACATATCCTTGTGTGGGTTCCGAGGCCCTACTATGGGAAAAACAAGAATAAACCCACTGCCTACCCAAAAGCATGTCGTAAGAGTCGACTAATTGGGAGCTTCCTTTGAAGTCGGAGTGCGTCTGCCTGAGAGAGGCAAGGAACCAACAGTCTGCATACAGATCTGTCAAACGGATGCACACGCAACACTCAGGTTCTGGAACAGGACTGCAGTCCAGAAGTGGACGAACAACCAGAACTTTCTGCCGGAGTTCACCGCCGGTGAACGTGAAGAAGAAGAAGAAACATACTTGTTAGAGGGCAGTGGGTCTGTTCTTTTCCTCCCAAAATGTGGCCCTGGAACCCACACGAAGATCTGTTAACTAATTTAGGGATCTCTAGCTGTATCAATTAGTGTTAAGTTGCCCAAGAAGCAATTACTTCTTGGTGCTTCACATTAAAATATGATTTACAGTTTTCATGCTGATAACTTACCCTAGATGGCTGTGTGGTTTGCAGCGTGGATAATTCTTCTTTCTTCATCCTTAGATCTGTTTGAACTTTCTCAAACGCATCTCTGAAATTAAGAACAACTCATCATTAGCAGCGAAAATCATTTTAATTATAAAACGATTCAGATTAGGCTTTCTTATTTCTCTTGTCCTCATGCATAAAGCCCTGAAAGTGATGCACCTACTTTCTTCTTCTTTGTTCACCGGCTGTAAACTCCAGTGCAAAGTCCTGGTTGTCCATCCATCTGGACTTTGAGTTTTAGGTGTAGATCTGCTTTACTGGCTTATTTGTGTGCAGTTGGTTGTTCCTTGCCACTCTAGCAGATGCACCCCGACTTCAAAGAAAGCCCCCAATTAGTCGACTCCTACTACATGCTTGTTGGGGAGGTAGTGGGTCTATTCTTGTTCCCCCCCCCCTCCCCCCCACACTGGGGCCCTGAAACCCACACAGTGATACCTCTATTTTGAACACTCCCTATTTTACAATCAGAATTGTTAAGAATGTTACAGTGAGTTTGTCTAAAACATCATTAGAAATTGCATTGACCATTAGGTACAAAGTGAAAGGTTCCAGAAAGAATACACATAAAACATAAGGTAACGGAAGGAACACTGTCATGTCTTCCTATGACTGATGTTACAGCAGACAGCATCTATCACTTCACAGACACATGACACTGTACAAACTGTCAACTTGATACAAATCTAACACAAGTGAAATAAAGGACAAATATGAAACCAAAATGTCTACTAATAAAAAGCAGATTTATAAAAAAAATTGATTTAAAAAATTGATTTAAATAACATAATTACAATCATTTAGCCAGATGATGAGACAAGTGGAAAATGATCTTTCTGGTGGTCATATTGTTTTTCATTTTATTATCTAAAAAAAGCATAGGCTTCCAACAAATTTATGCACAGCTTTTATAGATGAATAGTACTGTGATTTCTGTCTTTCCAGGACAATGGTGTTAAACAGTGCTATAGGGAAGCTGTGAATTACAATTCATGCAAGAGTTTTCAAGGCCAATTAAGTTCAGGGATAAAGTTCCTCCTCTCCACAGTACAGAGGCATTATGAGCATTGTAGACCATGTGCTGCCCATACAAAATGATCCCCCTCCTGGCAAGCCTTGTTTACTCCACAGAAAAGGTAACATCAATATAAAGAAAAAAGTTCACTTTTTCACGGGCCCAAGGGAAGAGCACCCCTATTTTTACAAACCAATCAGCACCAGGTGGGTAATGTGGTCAGCATTATGCCGGAACAAAGTGTACTGCAGAAGTTTCCCACTCAGCAGAGTGGTGCTCAGTCTGGCCGCCTGTCAGAGCTTTCCTCCAAGACCAGCACTGGCATATCCAGCCTCACACCTTTGAATGTATGGCAGGATACAGAGCTTCTATTCTCTGCTTCTCCTGCTTGGGCCCAGTAGCTCCAAGCATCAATGTCATAACAAGGTAAGTGATTTTAATAAAATCCACCCCAAAAAGTTCCAAAGCCACTGCTAAAGAAAACAGAACACAATTATCATATACACAAGAATATATCTCACTTGTTTTTGCTATTTCTAGTCTCTAATTTCTGCATCTCTGACAGCAGATTGGTAATGTACTGTTCCATTTTCTCTAGCTCCACCCTATGGCTTTGATACTCAGTTTCCTGTTGCAGTTTAGCAGCTGCCAGTTCCATTTTCCCCTTCTGCAGATCCAGCCTGGACCACCGGGTGTCGTAATAGCCACCAGTAAGAGCTCCTCTCCGGCTGACCTGGTCACCTGAATGTTAAGAATGATTTCAAACATCATATGGGGTGTTCAATTACACTTTTAAGATGATTAATCTTCTTCTTGTTCTTCACGTTCAACAGCTGTAAATTCAGGTAGAAAGTTTTGTCTGTTCATTCATTTCTAGACTACTCTTGTTCCATAGTTTTGCCTGCACATCCAGTTTACTGAACTGGATTGTTTGCAGACTGCTGGCTCCTTGTCTCTCAGGCAGATGCACTTGGACTTCTAAGCAAACCCTAATTAGTGAACTCTTACAACATGCTTGTTAGGGAAGCAGTGGATCTGTTCTTTTTCCTTTCCCACAAAGGGATCCCCAGAACCCCCATGGGGACAATTATTAACTACAAGAGGTCAATTAATCTGAGAAAAAGTGCATACCTGAGCTCTTCCAAGATCTTCTTTTAACACTGACAGGGACAATTTTAGAGATGGAGGTGAAAACAGAATAAATAACATTGTCTACATGGTCTACTGCTGGGAAAAAAAGGCAAATGGATTTCGGAACAAGACATAGCAGAGTTGCCGTGTTCTTATTCAATCAAGGTTATATTGCAGTTCTATCTTTCCACTTTATTCTCAACTTTAAAATGAAGACATTTTATAAGAGTATTTTTAACTGTTCATTGTTAAGTTATTTCTTTAAGTTATATAATCCAAAAAAGTTTTAAATGTTCTAAAAAAAAAAAAATCATATCAGTAAAAGACAGAGGAAGTGTGCAATTTTAAAGAAAATACCTTGACTGGCATCCTATTCTATGGGGTTACAGTGAAAGGCGCTTGCCTGACAATGTAAAATAACATTAACTTAATGTGTATTGTACATACTCCCTAAATCGTGCACTTGGCTTTTAAACAGTGGTATGAGAATTGCACTGTGGAAGAGTTCTGAAGCACCACATGTAATTTTCCCAAAGACAACACTTGGTTCACATATCAAAACTACCTCTATCATGGTAGCACCCATAAAATATAACTAACAATTAGAGTATGATTCCCCCTTCCTCTTCTTTCATCTCCGAAGGGAGCAAAAGCCTCGTAACTAACTTGCTGAGAAGCCTTTAATTTGTTTCCTGTTGCAGCTACAGTTGGTGAAGTGGTCATGTCCACAAGGAACTTTTTTTAGTCATTTTTGTTATGTCATGCATGGCAGTTTGTATTATTATTATTTGTTCCCCCCCCCCCCCCCACTTCCCCAATTGGTAACACACAGAACATTAGCTCAGAATGAGTGTTGATGTTATTTCCAGCACAGCACTCAAGACTGAATTAAATGTTTGTTTCATTTGTTTTCTGCCCCCTCCCCTTTCTGCTTAAATTTTAATGAACAGAAAAGTATTGTCTATTTACAAACAGCTAAGTTATGACTTTCTTCTTCTTTTGCATTTTCCTGTAAAGGGGCGATTGGCATACTGTCTTGTGGATTATAGTTAGGTTGTGAAATCTGTGCCTTTGGGCCTAACAAACCCAATTTCAGCAAACTTTACTCACCCTTTTATGACATGCTTGTTAAGAGGCAATAAATCTCCCCCCCCCCCCCCCCCCCTCCCTTTTTCCCACTAAACTGGACAACAGAACTCAAATGTGATTGAAGGACTCCAACTTTAACAGGAGGTATACTAGATAACCGTAACAAAGACAGCCAAGGACAAATACATTACGCAAGTGTAGCCAAATCTTATGTATGCAGTTCTGTGGCTTGAAGTTTAGTGAAATTGTTTCACAATGCAGAGGTTCAATTCTAAGGGTGGGGAGGGCGGTGTAGAAATCATTCTACAGATCATTCCCATGGCTTTCAGATAGTGCTATGACAGATCATTCCTATGGCTTTAAGACAGTGCTATGAAAGATCATTCCTATGGCTTTCAGATAGTGCTATGACAGATCATTCTCATGGCTTTCAGACATTGTTCTGACAGATCATTCCCCTGGCTTTCAGACAGTGCTGACAGACCATTCCCATGGCTTTCAGACAGTGCTATGACAGATCATTCCTACAGCTTTCAGACAGTGCTATGACAGATCATTCCGATGGCTTTTAGATAGTGCTATGAGAGATCATTCCTATGGCTTTAAGACAGTGCTATGACAGATCATTCCCATTGCTTTCAGACAGTGATGTGACAGATCATTTCCATGGTTTTCAGGCAGTGCTATGACAGATTATTCCAATGGCTTTCAGACAGTGCTATGACAGATCATTTCCATGGCTTTCAGACAGTGCTATGACAGATCATTCCCATGGCTTTCAGACAGTGCTATGAGAGATCATTCCCATGGCTTTCAGACAGTGCTATGACAGATCATTCCCATGGCTTTCAGACAGTGCTATGAGAGATCATTCCCATGGCTTTCAGACAGTGCTATGAGAGATCATTCCCATGGCTTTCAGACAGTGCTACAACAGTTGCATCCTGGAGGAGATTAGAGTCTGATGATGTAATATCTCCCCAGTTAGTAGTGTACACTGCAACCAACCTCCCCTGCAGAGATGGCACAATGTTTTTATACAAAAATATATGAATAAGAATGTATTCCAACCTTCTAAAGTGATGCAATCAAGGTTCTGTGTACGAGCAAACTGGGTTGCCACTTCCATGCTCCTGGCAATCAGTGTTTTCCCAAATACATGTTTCATGGCAGGATCAAATCTCTGCTCGTATGTGAGCTTCTTAATCATGGCCACAGCTTCCTGTAATGATATCATCAAATAACAAAATTCACAGCACTGTGTTTGCTGGTCTTTGACTCTACGCACAATAGAAAAAAAAAAGATATGGTTTGGATCATACAAGGAGAAGTTAAATAGATCATCACAGCCTTTTGCTTCTTCTTCTTTGCATTCACCAGCAGTTAACTCTGGCAAAAGTTCTGGTTGTTCATCCACTTCTAGACTTTGGTCCGTTTCCAGAAGCTGAGTTTTGTGTGCATATTATTTGTATGCAGACTGTTGGTTCCCGGCCTCTCAGGCAGATGCACTCTGACTATAAAGGAAACATACCCAATAAGTCGCCATGTACAACATGATTGCTGGGGGGGGGGGGGGGGGGCAGTGGGTATATTAATTTCTCAACCTAAAATGGGGCGCTGAAACACACAAGGGGAGAGTCTCCATCTTATGAGAAGAGTGCAGCAGGGAGTGGTTCTAATATTTTTAAATTCAAATTTCCTTACTGTAACTATTAACCCTAGCAGACCTCAGGCCCTGAACCTAACTGCACCCTGTACCTGAGCATTAATGTGAAAAAACCAACATGATATACACAAATATTAGTTACATGCAAACAAATGGCTAGAATAAGATGAAACTTGGAGACATTGTAGAAAATAGGCTTACCTTTTATCTAGTGCCAATATTCCATCTTTGTGTGCCAATCCACTTAGGAGGATCAGCCTTGTTTCACAAAGTGAACACCAGATGTTGCTGCCTGAGGACCCCCCCCCCCCCCCCCCCCCACCCACTAATGATCTATTTCTAGATTTATAATTTTCAAGCTCTCACTGAATTTGTCACTTTAACTGTGAACGTATTCTTCATGAAATTATGACTCCCCAGAGTCTGAATAAACCGAAGTATCGATCACCTGTTGGACTGTGAAAAGCTTAGACCTAGTTTACTTTCCTGTCGAAGTGCTTTTTTCATCAGCAGCTAGTTTCATTGTGAATTTTCTGCATTTTTTCACACAAAACAACACAGATGTATTCTAAACACATGTGGGCAGACGTATGGGAAGACTATCCACGAGGTCTATTATTGGCTAGTTATTTTTAGTTTGTGACGCATCTTTTTCACATACTACGCAAATTGCCGAAAATTAGGTACAGCTGTATAGCGTCAAGTTAAGAAATTCCCGGAAAAATCGGGTCAGCAGTCTGGTATCGTTAAAAAGTATGGGGTCCAATTCCATGGCAGACCTTCAGATCAAAGAGGGGCCCAAGGTCTTAGCTGATTGGGAACTAATGACTTAAGTGATGTTTCTGTATTGTTTCTTTCACAATGAAAGGAGAATATATTTCACAGGCATTTATTGTTTCTTCTTCGCTTTCATCAGCTATAAACTCAGGCAGATATTTCTGTTTTTGTCCACTTCAGAACTTTGGTCTTGTTCCAGAACGTGAGTCTTGCGTGCACATCTGTTTTACATATCTGGATTTGTTGTATACAGACTGTTCGTTCCTTGCCTCTCAGGTATATGCATTCTAGTTTCGAAGGAAACCCCTTATTAGCAGACTCCTATAACATGCTTGTTAGGGAAGCAATGGCTCTATTCTGTAACCCCCCCCCCCCCCCCACCCCCACCCCGGCTAAAGAGCCCACACTGGGATATCTGTTGTTGGATAAGGTTGAATAATGGTCACATAAAGTCGGCTTACTTGTGTGGCTGGATATGACGTGTCTCTGCTGTCAAGCCGGTTCAGTGGCATGAATGTAACCTCTCCTGGTAAATGCATTCTGTTCATTTCCTTCAGCAATATTGTGCCTGTGCGATCTGTGTCTACAATGTGGTGAAACAGTCTGAAAACGGAGAAATCAGAACTTCAAGAATTACTGCAATATGAAGCGATCAATACTATAGTTACAGGACAGGCATCATAAGTCATCAAATCACATCAATCCACTGCTGCCGTTTCCCCCAATTTTTTTTTTAAATCTGTAGAACTCTTCTGCCTCTATGTTCATCCAATATTTGTGTGTGTGTATGTGTGGCTTTTTACTGTAATTATACCGTGCCTGTTTACAGTAAAGCTGCAAATATCTGACACCTCCATCCCTCTGAGAATATAAACCTCAATATTATGTCATCATGCCTGTGCAAGAATCTTGTGTTTAGATAACCTCTTAATTTTTTTCAAAAAAGACCCCCCCCCCCCCCCCCCCCCAACAGTCTCTTCAAATAGTAGGCTTTCATTTAAAAAACTGAACCAAGCCTGGAAAGTTTTTTTTTTTTAAATCATTTTAAAGTTACTGACAAACTACACGTTTTCAAATGAATGAAATGCTTCATCAAATACACACAGCCAAAAATATTTTCAATGCATTAGAATGAAAATGATTTTCAATAACGTCTTCGTAAATAAGAAAAGATTTAGAAAACAAGCGAACAAAAGCAACAACGAAATAACACTGGCAGATCTAATTAAACCCTTTCACTGCTATGGACAATTTCGCCATTTGCCCATAAACTGCTCTACGCGCATTTCTGTACGTTATCGGGTTTCCTGGCCATCACAGCTATAGGCATTAGAAAAAAAAATGTTGACTTTCCTTACACAGCCTTAAGGATCATTATTCTCAAGGGTCAAATGGCAATACACATTAGCCATATTTAAAAAAAAAAAATTTTTTTGACTTTCCTTACACAGCCTTAAGGACCATTATTCTCAAGGGGTCAAATGGCAATACACATTAGCCATATTTAAAAAAAAAAAATTTTTTTGACTTTCCTTACACAGCCTTAAGGACCATTATTCTCAGGGGTCAAATGGATACACATTAGCCATATTCAGAGCCAAGTGACCCATTACATACGATTAAACACTGTGCCATATGTGTTTAGGTGTGTTCCACATTATATATTTCTGGTTCTGCATTAGTCTACATTTCACTGGTACAAAATGGCAAGAAAACAGGTTAAAGTTAACAAAGAATTAATGGAGTTTCTGTCAAGGAGTGATAGTAAGGATCACTTTGAAATATTTGAGTTATGGGCTGAGTTATCTTCACTGCTCTCTGGCAGACAGGTGAACTTCTGGTCGTGAACAAGACTATCTGAACCAGCCAACACTGTCACCAGAATTTGAAATGAATTCCCCCAATGACCAAGAAGAGGACGTGGCCACATACTGACATGATGACTACATTTAATGATCTTCTATACTGCACAAAGACTATGCATGTGTCTGTCAATAATACTGGTCTTATTTTTGCTTGTTATTATCAAATGATATTCTAATGCTATCACATCCATTTACAATCAGAAGGTCATGTGTTCAATTCCAATGCATTTTTTTTTGGCAATTTTTTTTTTTCAAATTGTAAATTTTCAATTCCAGTTCTTAGCACTTTTGGCAACAGATGAGCCAGGTATTATTTTTTTTAAACAAAAGTATTAACAAGGTGACTACAATTAATCAGATTAAAGCAACCAATGCTCTTAACTAGGTGCCTTGTAAACACGACACTAGAAATGCCAGTTAAGCGAAAATCTCACGGCTAAAGGGTTAAAGTTCAGTGCTCTACCGATGTAAATGAGATGCTTACCGAGACCCAGCTGTAACTTCAACACAAGTGTAGTAAACTTTGTCACACTCAAAGGCTTCAATAAGGAGACCATAATATCCATTAATGACTTCTGGGTATTTGTCCTGTTCACGGAAGGACTGTAGGACTTTCTGTATACTGTCAGTTCCATTCAACATTCCCTGGAGGAAAACACATAAGACAGTTAAATTAACACGTCTGAAAATTTATAGTCATGAAGAAAGGAGACTTCTAGTCTTCTATTTCTTTTGCCTTTCATCCACCAATGGATCATAAAAGCTCAACTAACTCACGCCAAGCCCTTTATAAACTTCTTTTTTTTTAGAAGGGCTGGAATTAGTAGCTAAAATTTTTGACAGGATGAATTAGCCAGCTAAACTGTTCTATGGGATGAAGTGGCCAACTGCTAAAATTGTCTATAAGATGAAGTAGACAGCTAAAAATGTTCTATGGGATGAAGTAGCCAGCTGCTAAAATTGTCTATGGGATGAAGTAGCCAGCTGCTAAAATTGTCTATGGGATGAAGTAGCCAGCTGCTAATATTGTCTATGGGATGTAGTAGCCAGCTGCTAAAATTGTCTATGGGATGTAGTAGCCAGCTGCTAAAATTGTCTATGGGATGAAGTAGCCAGCTGCTAAAATTGTCTATGGGATGTAGTAGTCAGCTGCTAAAATTGTCTATGGGATGTAGTAGCCAGCTGCTAAAATTGTCTATGGGAAGTAGTAGCTACAATTTCAAGCCAGCCTTCTTAGTCACCTCATTAAACACACAGATCAGCTGCTCCAGGTAGGACCACACAATTTTTTCTTTTTATTTTCCTGTTCTCCTTAGGTCCTTCTGCCCTGTCCCTCTTTTGAGAGAAGTGCACCAACTGTTGTTATAGGAGGCCTCTGTGATAAAGTGGTCAAACTGCTTGCCGTGAATGAAGTTCATGTGTTCATTTCTTGTATGTCTTTCTATTCACAAATGTACTTTTTAGATCCCTGGGGATTGTCACTGGAACACCATAATGTGTGCTCTGTGTGATGATTTAACAGGCCGCTCTGGTGAAAGAAACCTAATGAACTTGATCCTATCTTCATTAACTTGTAACTTGTTATGCCCATCAGTGGTCAGCAAGCATCTGTGTTAGGTTTGTTTCCTCTAAACAAGATGCCTTCCAAGGCAACAGGATCTATCCTCCTGTGGACAGGCAGCATTTAATCATTTGTCAGGTCAGTGGCCTTAGGGCCTACACTTAGTCCTTTCCATCTACTTGAGATTTTTTACACGCATAATTTGCTCGCAAAACCTCTCGTTTTTCAGCCTTAAACGAGAAGGCAACATTTTTTCTATCTCACTGCCAAAGAGATCAGGAAGTCATCTCAAACGACTGGGCATCAATAGGTCTTGTTAAATGTTGGGATCTCACTGCCAAAGAACTAAGCATCAATTCACCTTCAAGTGGTACAGAAACAGCCAATCTAACTGCCTAGTAGTTTCGCACACATTTGCAGGCCTCAGAGAAAAACTCTGGTCTTATCTAGTATTCAGTATGGCGGACTTAAATATTTATGTCCTAACTCCTTCAAACCTTAATACTTTACAACCCAGTTATAATTTTTAAATAAATTAAAAAATAACAAAAAATATTATATACTATTCAAATGTGTTTTTTAATGTAAAAAAAGAAACGCATTTTTATTAGTTGACCGAAAAGCCTGCACTCTTAAAAGCTGTTAACGACCCAGATGCAAATAACCATCAACTGACTGGTTAAACTCTTAGGTATTCTTATGTGCAATTTGAACAATTTCAATCAATAAATTACTCAGATTTTAAATGTCGAAAAAAAAATGACAAAATTATGTTCCTTACAGTAGTTACGAGTATATTTTTGTAAACAGTATGCAATATAAATCAAAAAGTTTGAAATAACCGCCAAGTTAACAAACAGTAGAAGGCAGCAAATAACTGTTTCATTTAGAAAGCTTATCTTTTAAAATTATTGTTCATATTAATTATTTTTTGCAACAATGTTTTAAGCCACTGAAGTTGTCTGCAAGGAACAGAACTAAAACCACAAATCTGAAGCTTATGGAGAAAAATTGACATATTTTAGTGTATCACTATGAGATGAGAAACAAAATCACAACCTGAAAATAAAAAATTTCAGTTTAACTAATACATTGATCTTCTGAAAGAAATAAAGCGAGATGTACACATATATGGTGAAGAGAATTGAGGACAGATACAAATATGGGAATGGTATCAAAGGAGCCTCACGAGCTAGCAAACAGAAGGGCTTGATGTGAAATGGTTGAGATCCTATGCTCAACAACCCTGTATTCTTGTCAATCTGTACATGGTTCAGTTACAACAAGAGACAACATTTTATGTTACCTTCCCGGTCAGGGACCGCAGAGCTTGCATCCTTTTATTCAGTTCTTCAGTTGTTGTGGTCAGCTGTTGTTGTAATGTATTCTCTTGTCGCCATAAAGTGCTGGTGGAGCATTTGTGTAAAATTACTTTCCATAACTTACTATTCTCAACTCAGATCATTTTACTTTTACCATAGAAGTTCACAATAATGCTACACTGTTTGATAATAACTGTTTATAGTGTTCATGTCTGTTAACAGCTGTATGGAATAATTTTACAGTAATTTTATATACACCTAAATAACCAGAAACAGAACAAAATTAGCGACTCTTTACCAAGAAATCTGTATAATAAGCTAATAAAAAAATGTTCAAGCCTCTGCAATACTAATCTAGAAACAGCAAAAGGAAGTATTATGTTTCAGAATAAAATTGTTCAGTGATGTCAATGATAGTGGCTAGATCAGTGGATTTCAACTGGGGTTGGAGGGAGGGGGAGCAATATGTATTCAAAGAGGGCACCACCTGCAAAAAAAAAAAAAAAAAAAAAAGTGAAAAACCAATGAGCTAGATTTATGCCTGCAGGCCCAAACTCTTGGGCCTGTCACTGCACTGGGTGGATTGTGTAATGACTTGTGCTAATGAGTCAAGCCAGTTTTAAGAAAAGTACTTGGAAAAATTATGGGAAGTAAAGGCAGCCAGTATGATGCTGATCACATCCTCTACCGAGTGCCAACTGATTTAAAAATAAAAACTATATGTTTAATGCACCAATGATATGAGAAGGGAACCTTAACTGTTTTTTTTAAACTAAATATCAATGACATACTGATATGTGGAAGTGAAGCATGAATGATACAGATACTGAGGAAAATTTGTGGGAACAAAATGCCATGGGTTGTGTCTGTCGAAAGGGAAAATGAGGAAGGGAATGAGAATAAAGGAAAAAATGATTGCAGAAAGTTTGACAGCCAACGACAACAGTGATTCTGAAATCCTACGCTTTAATTTCAAATTTATCTCGACCGCTAATGGGAGCTGCATTAGTCGTGCATTACCGCCTGCCCCGCATGGTGATTGTGGGTTCAAATCCCCCATTTCCACTATTATTTTTTTAAACTGACTTGCAGGCTGAGAGCAGCACAAACTGCTTAGAGAAATAGGGGCCGACTTGATGTTGGCAACACTATCGTGGTGCAGTGGTTAGATGCTCATCTGCATGCCAAACATTATGGGTTCACATTCATACTGAGCTAAAATTTCATAATAGATTACCTTGGCTCACAGGCTGACTCAGCCTAAACTGGGTACCAGGCAAAGTCCTGGGAAGTTAAGGCAGCCATTGTGGAGGACCGACTCGTCAACAACAAAAAAACAGGTTTAGCACTCTATATCCAAGACATCTAAGAACGAGGACAAGGGTCCTTTACTTTATCCATTAACCCACCGACTACCAAGCCCATTAATCCTTGCATTTCCCCAAATACCACATATTTTAGTGTTTACTAAAATGCCATAGCTTTACAACTATTTGATAAAATCTCACAATATGTTGTATTTTTGCACCAAATTGAATGAAGAACAAATTTCAAGAAAAAAAGTTTTTTATTTTGCACACCTAAATTTATGGCAAAAGAATTTTCACCAACTGAATTCACTGTTGAGATTGCTGTTTTATTACTGACAAAAATATAGTTAGTTGTGTATCCTTTACAGGACAGACCCCTGCATCTTAGCTTTTTATGATTTTACTCGACAATTTTATGTTCAGTAGTTTGCCACTGCCTTCTGAGAAAATGGTTTCTGGTGTTACTGTTAAAATCAACATCAAACGGTCCGCTGCTAAATCGCCAGCAGCTGAAATTGAACGAGGTATCTCAGAACTACAAATTATGTCCACAATGCCTGGCGTTTTATTAACACTGTTCTACAATCAGAAGTAACCTTTACACTCACTTTCTTTTGTTTTGTTGAAGATCCTTGTCTGCCTTCATTTCTGCAAACTTACGGTTGTTTTCTTCAATAACTTCCTTTCTGTTCTCCAGATCTTTTTCCAGATCCTGAAATGCAAGCAAAGAAATTTCCAGAGGAAGAAGGCATGACTATTTTTTCCTAACCGGGTGCTAACTTCCCATTCACTGTCGTAGGTTACAAACCAGTGTATGAGTGTTAATATCCTTACCTTTAACCAAGTGATAACTAATGCAGATCATCACAGGAAAAAATTTACAAAATATAGAATCCCCATGTGTGTTCCAGGGCCCCATTTTGCCAGAGGGGGGGGGGGGAGGGGGGGGGGGGGGGGGGGATTACACCCACCACCCTCTTTAACAAGCAGGTTGTAAAAGGCGACTAGTTAGGGAAGTATGTGAGTTGTAAGAAATCTTTTTTTTTAAACCAAACACCGCGGGAATCACAAATTCTGGTAAACATTTCAGATAGCATGCTAAAAAAAAAAAAATTCTGTTGAAAAGCAGACACAATTATAATAAAAACAGAATAAAATAGCACCTAGAAGTCTAAATAAATGAATTCAGCCATTTAATCTATTTCAGTGCCATTTGTAACAAAGTGTTATGAAATTTGACTTTAAATTCCAGAACAACCCCACCGTTGTTTTTGGGACGAGGGTCCTCGCAGCACTAAGCTATATCTTAAAACCCCTCTTCCCTTTTCCCTTTCTACGAGACCAGCATTTGGAAACAAATAGACAACCCTAGAATTTGCAGAACCTTACAGCTATCTCTTTTTGCAGATTGGTTGTCTGCCCTTGACCTTGCTGTTGTACATCCTGCAATCTTCGTATCTGTGGAGGAAAAAACATTGCAATGAAAATTAAATCTGCAAGCCCACTGTAAAAATAATTTAATTATTCTAACTGATGAATTTAAAAAAAAACAAGTTTAATTAATTAACAAAATATTACAATAATCAATTCACTATCTGATATTATGAGTGGTACCACTAAGCCGTTGCGAGTCCGACTCGTAAGCCAGCATACCGCGATCGAAACCCACAACTGCAGGCTGTGTGGATTTCTGTCGTGGTATGGGGACGTCGCAGGTCGACCCAGCCTAAAATGGGTACCAGAATGGGCTGTCCTGGGAAAGTAAAGACAGCCGGCGTAATGCTGACCACATTACCCACAGAGTGCTGATGGTCTGTAAAAATATGGGACGCTCTGGCCATATGCCCGATGCGCCGAAAGGCATAAAAAGGGAACTTTACTTTACTTACCATACAAGGCTGGGAAAATTATTTGGCCTGGACCCTGTCAAAGCAAACACAATTAAATGCTTGACTAAATATAGCAGGCTAATTTTTAAATGTGTCTCCTTCTTTGCATTCACCAGCTGTAAACTCAGGTGAAAAGTTCTGGCTGTTTGTCCACTTGTGGACTCTAGTCCTGTTCCAGAAGCTGAGTGTTGCATGCACATCCATTTCACAGGTCTGACTCATCTGCGTGCAGACTGTTGGTTCCTTGCCTATCAGGCAGATGTACTCAAACTTCCAAGGAAGCTCAAAATTAGTTGACTCTTACGACATGCTTTTAGACAGGCAGTGGGCTATTCTTGTTTTCCTTACAACGGGGCTCCCGAACTCACAATGGAAATTTTTTAATTGACAAACGTGTTTGGCTTGTGAATGTTATAAATATTCAAATGACGCTTAGTAGCAGAGAAATGTTCTCATCCCTAACTTAAAGACACTGGATTATACAGTAATGTTCCCCTTTTTTTGTTCACTTGAAAAAGTTTATCTATATCTGCAGTTTTGTCTCTAGTATGAATGAACTTCACTGTCTGTTGTTATTCACTCAGAGACCCGTAAAGTTGGGGTTGCACAGGTGTTTTTCTTGGCCAAAAGTTTTGCACCAAGCTGTTGTATTTGGGACAGTCTTGGAGGACATGATCTGTTGTCTCAAGTGCCAATCAACATGGGCACACTGCAGTAATGCTGTAATACTGAGACAGTAAATGTAAAAGGCTTCACCCAGCTTAAGAGATTACTTTCACATTTAGGCTAGAGCATATGCAAACCAGAATGAATGACACTACAGAAAATGAAATAATAAAATGAACAGGATCTAGACCATCACCCACCTGGTCTTCTTTATCTCTTATTGCTTTGTTAAGAGACTTCAGTTCTTTCTTGATCCACGTGTCTCTATCATCTCGAGATTGAAAATGACTTCCTCTGCCTTGTTTTGCATAAAGTTCCTTCCTTCTCTGATCAGCCTCAGCAAGTCTGAAAGAAAAAACAAACTTTTCTTTGACTATATGAAAAAAATGTAACAGACATGAACTCCTAAAATACATGAGTTAAAACATATCATTGAATGCATTAGTCCTGAAAAGAACATTAGAATAATAGTATTCAAGTTTGCTTTGCCTGGCTGTCCACTTGCCTCCAAGACTCCCATATATATATATATATATATTTATATACACACACACACACACAAATGAAATAACCTTCAAAGTCAGCGTGCAACTGCCAGAAAGGCAAGGAACCAACATTCTGCATACAATCAACCCAGATCTGTAAAAACTCAAATTCCTGATAAAGACTTAAATACAGAAGTGGATGAATAAACATAACTACTGTACACCTGAAACCCCATCAAGTCTCATATGCATGTGTCCACAATCTCCAAGAGGACGCCACAATCTACTCTAGGAACCACATATTTGTTGGAAAAGGGAAAATGTAAGCTAACCACAGAAGAAGAGAAAGTATGGCAATTTGTGCCCTCGCTGGCATCTAACAACTGAATTTGAGCTTAGCTTGCTCAAGCAGCTACTAAAGTATTCAAACTAGGTCTGCATTTTATTTATCATTGACAAAAACTAAACTGGGTGGTTTCAAGCTATTCTGTTCCTTACAAACTTATCAAGTATCGGATTGTAAGTAAAAATCATTCTTTGTACTGAGAAATAAAATCACTAAACCAAGGGGAATTGAGTCTCCAGGTTATAGATTGTGTTTAGTGAATTCATTTCTTCATTTCAATTTGACTACATTCACATATGATTTTAACACTTTAGACTATATAATATAATAAGACATTTTCTGCAATGGGGATCGAAACGTTTCAAATTTCAAAGTCTGGTACCCAAACTACATGTGGAGCCTTCTTCTTCTTCACCGGCTGTAAACTCCTGGGGAAAAGTTTTGGTTGTACCAGAACTTGAGTTTTATATGCACATCTGTTTTACAGATTTGACTAATTTGTATGCAGACTGTTGGTTTCTCACCTCTCAGCCAGACGCACTCCCCTCTGAAGGATACAGCCCTAATTAGCTGACCTTTTCAACATTGGGGGCAGTGGGTCTATTCTTTTTCCCTAATTCCTTTTTTTTTGGCCCTGGAATCCACAAGGGTAGCTTGTGCAATGAGCTACTGTCCACATTTAAAAATTGACTAGACATATTTTGGTGAACAACAGCAGCTGAAAATTTCTACATTTTTCCAAATCTCTCGCATTTCATTGCCCCTTTGCAGGCCGGTGGGCATACCCCCCCCCCCCTCCCAATTTCTATAAGTATTATCATTGGACAGGCATTTTCTTGGTCCTTTTCCCATTTCTAGGTTCACTATAATACTTAATTTTTGTTTAAAAGACAGAATTATACACACAGGAAAGCTTTCATGAACACACATAATGTTTACCTTGCAGAACACATTTCTTCATTGTCAAGCTTGTTTTGATATTCCAGACATATAGAATCGTACTGTGCTTGTGTCTTTATAATCTTCTCATTTACTTTAATCAACTCAGCTTCAATCTTTTGCTACACAAGATAAGAATTCAATATAAGCATAGTGTCACAAACTATAGACGATAAATGTTTTCAAAAGTTTATCAAAATTCCCTTTCTTCAGAATAAATAAAGCCATTTTAGTTCAGTGTCACTGGACAAACACCATTTACCGCATTGACCGGCGTGAGTTTTCAAGTTTCATATCTTATAGATAAATAACCTGTAATTTCTTCTTTTTTTTTCTCACACTAAGATTAAAAGCTATTAAGTGTCTTATCTTGCTGTCTCTTTAAAACCCTGTCCTTAAAATGGTCTCCATGTGTGGGTTCCGTGGCCCCTTATGGGGAAAAAAAGAATAGACCAATTGCCTCTTCAACAAGCAAGTCACAGGCATCGACTAACTGGAAGCTTCCTTCGAAGTCGGAGTGCATCTGCCTGAGCAGCAAGGTACAATCAACTGCACATTAATAAGCCAGTAAAATGGATGTACACACAAAACTCAGGCCCTGGCACAAAGCCAAAGTCCAAATGGATGAACAATCAGGACTTTCCGCCGGAGGTTACAACTGGTGAACAAAGAATAAGAATATAGTCCAGCTGTCACCAACTATTTCAGTTTTTCTTTTATTAATGTTGCCAAATATTAGGACAGCATCTCTTTCTGATGTTTGTGATAGCAGGTCATTGTGTTTTATCCTTCTTTGCTATAAAATAATTATTTTGGCTCTTCAAGTAAAAATGTAGCTACTATTAAACAAGAAATAATGTAAAATTGGTGGAGGAGGAGAGGGGGAGAGAATGAGAGGAGAGAACATGAAAGAGAGCCAGAGTGAAACTTAAAGGCAGAGAGAGTATGTATGTGTGAGAGAGAAACAGAGCCAGTGAAGTAAAAGAAAGAGTGTGTGTGTGAAAGATAAAGCCAAGACAATGAACAGAAAAGGGAGTGAAAGAAAGAGACTGAAAAAGAAAGACTACAAGAGTAGGATGAGAGCGGTGTAGATAGAGAGAGAAAGAGAGAGAGATAATACAGAGAGACACAGACAGACATACAAACATACAGAGGCAGGGAGAGAGGCTGTTTTATTTGGATCCCACAAAAAAGTAACATCTTTTCTTACTACCAATAACAGCATACACAACAGCAATATAATTACCATACTGTTCTGGCTGCCTCGCTGGTCTTCAACAATATCTCGGATGCTCAACTCAAGCTTGGAATTCTTCTTGGTCAGATCTTGGTATTCAGCAGACAGGCTATCCTTCTCTTCTAGAGCCACCTGCATTCTGGCTTTGAGCTCTTTGAGGTCTTTATTTATTGTCTGGTAGTCACATGTAAAATTGTCATATATTTTTTATTACAAAACAAATGTCCAATACACCCCATCCCCCTCCCCCACAAAGAAAATGTATTTCACTAGCTAGACAGCAATGTGATTTCTATTAGGAATACATCAGCTAAGTGATTTTGTGTATTTTTGTCATTTTTGTTTGTGATAATGTGAAGCTTTCTGTGTGTACTTTTTGTTTGCTTGACATGTTTTCCAAATTAAAAAAAGAAAACAAGTCATGTTAAAGAAAGAAACCAAGCTTTTTGGTGATATTAGTAAACAAACTCATAATTTCATCCTAGGCATCTTTGCTTAAAATGCTGTTGTCTCTTTTGGACTGAAGCTGTGAAAAACAAGCCAATAAAACTAAAATAAATACAGGATCCTTGTAATGCCAGCCATTCATCTGGCATATGATGCTACACTCCTGTTTTTATCACCAAAGCGTCTAAGGAAGCAAACATTTCATAATATTTCAAAGAAAGTTCATTATAACCTAACAGAAAATGCTTGTGTACCTACTCAAAAACGTAACATGTTTACTTAGGGCTGAAAGTAAGAGCAGCATGCATGCCCAATTTGTGATTCTTTGAAAATAAAGATTGTTCGCTCATTGGTTCATTTAGTGAAAACAAAATATCAAATGCAATTTTTAATAGAATGAGAACAGTCTTATTAAGACAAAACTACAAATGGCATGATAAAACTAGACGTTTTCAAAGAAAAGTCTTGGGTTCCAAATCTGAACTGAGTTTTATTTTATTTTTTTATTTTTATTTTGGTACCAAGTCGACCCAGCCTAAAATTAGCATCATGCCTGGTAAGTAAAATCTGTCGATGTGTTCTTGGTCACATCATCCATTAAGTAAAATATGATAAAAAAATAAATATGATAAAATGTGACTAGATAGCTCAATGGAAAGAATGGAAAGGACGTGCACAAATACAACTAAACGTTTCAACCAAAGTTTTAACCAAAGGAATACTAAATACAACAACAACAAAATAGGACTGGAAAACTCAGCAGACAAGATAACATAGCTATTAAACAACCACGGTCAACAAGAAACCAAGAAATACGTGATTGGGGGGGGGGGGGGGGGGGGGGGGGGGGGGGGGGGATTAAGGGCTACATATGAAACAAAGATCTTCACGTTCCCCGGCTGTAAACTCCGGTTATTCCCTCACCTCCTGACTTGAGTCTTGTTCTAGAAGCGGAGTGATGTGTGCACATCTGTTTAACAGATCTGGCTTATTTTTATGCAGACTGCTGGTTCCTTGCCTCTCAGGTAGATGCACTCCGACTTCGAAGGAAACTCCTAGTTAGTCGACTTTTACAATATGCTTTTGGGCAGGAAGGGGGGTCTTAGTTCCCAACATTGGGACACACATGGGGAAGACTTTAGAGATAAAAATATGCGTCTAGCATCACAGGTCAGATGTAGCATCACAGGACAGATGTAGCATCACAGGACAGATGTAGCATCACAGGACAGATATAGCATCACAGGACAGATATAGCATCACAGGACAGATGTAGCATCACAGGACAGATGCCCTTTAGTATGAAGGCCCATTACTTTACTCAGATAAATAACAAAATATTTCAGCTTCAAATTAAAAAACACAATGCACCTAATGCTCTTCACAGAAGAAGTTAAGATTTCACCAAGATAACATGTAAATATGAACCTTACTTGACTGTGGTACAACAGTCGATATTTTAGAACTTAAAGCATAAAGTGACAGACTCATTTAGCGAGAAATTTAAAAAAAAAAAATTTTAATTTTAAAACAAAAAGCAAACTATTCACAAGTTTATTAAATTGTCTATCATTTATTTTTAAACAAAGACACTGATGTTTATGCAGTAATACATAATGCCATGACAGTGAAATCAACACACAGTTGATTTCAATGTTAAAAATATCAGAGTATATTCATCTGACAGCTTTTAAATATTGGATTAACTCCACTGCACCTGTTTGCAGTAGAGCTGTGATATTAGTGCCTTCTGTCCAACACAACCAACTTATGGAATTTGTAACCAGTTTGACCCTTCTGGTTATTAAAAGAGTTTATGGTTACAGAGACATTTTAAAAACATGGATTGAAAGAATGATTTCATATAATCAAGAAAAGACAACACTTACTTCATCCAGCTTTTTGCGAGTGTCTTTCAGTTCGTTATCATGGATTGTGTACTCTAATGATCTAAATGAAAGATCAGATACATTTAAATAAAAGAGGTATATTTTAAAAAAAAACACAATTTGTAAAATACTGACTAAAAGTTTTGTAAGGTTATTATAGCAACTCTGCATTTTAACTGCTCCACAAACTGCTCTCAAATCTGGGACATCAAACAGATCTGAACTGACAAGCTTCCTATATCAAACATATGCAGTAGCTCGATAATAGGTTCTTAAATCTTTCTGCCCCAGAGATAACTAAATTTAGTCACTCCTGGTTGTGCCTCATCCCTGTTAATGCCACATGTCTGCAGTTACCTACCTGATTTCCAAAAGAGCAGTTTCATTCCACTGGTGCGGTGTGCGCCTGCACAGTGTTTAACAGACCAGGATGCTGATCAAAAGGAGGACTGTGTCATCTGCGTAGCGAAGTTGAGGAGTGTTGCCACCAATTTTGAGCGGATCATAACTGTCACAAGTCTGGTCACTCAAAATCCTGCTGGCAGCCTTTATTTCCAAGTCAGTTTTCTGTTACCTATTTTAAACTGGACTGATACATTATCCCAGTGAGGGTTCTGAGACCCCATTGTGGGGGAAAAGGGAACAGACCGACTGGCCCCTAATAAGCATGTCGTAAGAGTCAACTAATTAGGGAGGTTTCCTTCAAAGTCAGAGTGCATCGTCCTGAGAGGCAAGAAAGCAACAATCTGCATGCAAATCAGCCTGATCTGTAAAACTGATGTGCATGCAAAACTCGAGTTCTGGAACAGGACACAAGTCAAAAAAGTGAAAGAACAACCAGAACTTTCAACCAGAGTTTTCAGCCGGTGAACGCAGAGAAGAATTAAGAAGAAGAAACACATTACAACCGAGCTGGTAGGTAAGCATGCTAGTAACTAAAAATGCCACAGCCCCCCCCCCCCCCCTAATATCTAACATATAATAATTATAATTATGGGACCACTGCCGGTCCTAAGCCCCAATGAGAAAAGAGGTGTGTTTGGCGAGGGGCCAGCCCTCCCACCCTGTAAAACATCTGCTACAGAAACTGGCAGAAAAGGAAGCCATTGTGGTAAAGAAATGAGTCAACTGGTGTGTGGTGCACAGAGTGCATGTATGACGGTTACTTATGAAAGCCACTCTGCGGAAGTCAGCGGCCAGACATGCACATTAATTGACTCAAAAAAATAAGATAGAACAGAACAGAGGAACAGACTGCAAGACCTATGTGACATACAAAGGCATAACTGGAAAATAAATGAACAAATAATTATAATGTACTTTCTACTGTAACAAATAACTGTCTGACATAATATAAGTATATAAGCAGGTATGCATAAATAAAGACACACACAGACTAAGATTCAGTACCGTCTCATTTTGTCCCACTTCTGATACTCTTTCAGCTCTTCTTTTTCTCCTTCTAAAGTGCTCAGTCGCTCCTCAATATACTTCAGAAGGTCGTTGATCTTTTCACGTTTGCCCTCTGAAATGTAAAGAAATTTCACTTATGAGATTGTCTCCCCACCTCTATCATTAACAAAGGTACTCCTAAACTATCCAGAAACATCCACTAAAATATGTGGTAGCTGGGAAAGTGCAAGGATCAACAGGTGTGGTAGTTGGTGGGTGTAATAGTAATATTCTTTTGATGTACAGATCTTGTATGTTTGTAATTTCTTCTTCTTGACTAAGAATATTCTATGTTTTTTTCTGTAACACTGACGCTCATAAGTCCTTTTTTCTTCTGCAGCAAGTGCTATATTGTCTTTGGTGTACATTTTCTGGCCGTACCGGAAATATATATATATTCTCAAAATTGTTATTTGAATTTCCGCTATTACTGTTACCACATACTTTTTTTTTTTGGGTCCTTCTATAAAACTAAACTTAAAAACCTCTTACCTGTTTCTGTTAAAATAGCATTACTCTCTTCCTTGCGTTCATCGTAAACTTTGGTACCAGCCACCTCTCTAAGGAGTTTCAAACGTTGAGAATCTGGGGCTGTAGCCATTTGATTGATCTGAAAGTAATGTTAAAACCATTAGTAATATCAGCAACACAAAATACATAAATATATTTTACTCTTTAATCAATAAAACATATTTAAAAAAGAAACACCACATTATATTACGTTAACTCTTTGAGGATGCATATGTCCAATGTTTCAGAATATTATGCCTTGTGTCCAAGGCCAATTATTTACCAAGTTCTTCAATTAACTATTCCTACTGTTATATGTGGTCACAGATTAATTTCTGATCTTTTATTTAGGTTTGGAAATGCCACCTCGAACACTGGCCTGCCACTCTTAAAGAGCTAAGAAAACAGTGAGAGATATCTGGATATTTCGACTGCACACGCATGTGTCAGTGTTCATGTGTCAGCACGCATGAAAGTGCGTCTGTTTTTGAGGGTTACAGCCTCCGAATACACTACCACAGCCTCATATCTGTTACAGAAAACTGTGGAAAATGTAGAAGCCTGGACTGAAAAGTGGGGTCTAAAGCTAAATAATTCAAAAAGCACAGCATCACCCCCCCCCCCCCAAATAAAATCAAAATTTGGATAAAAAACCAGCTCATTCCACAGACTGACACTCCTACCTTTCTTGGCGTTACACTTGATTCGTGACTAACTTGGAAGTCACACATAGAAGCAGTACAAGGGAAAGCATTCAAGAAGCTTGCAGCGATGAAAAAATTAGCGGGTACCACATGGGGCGTCAACCCCAGAATCCTAAAACAAGTATATTCTGGAGCAGTCAGGCCAGTCATGGAATATGCCTCCACTGCATAGGCTGCAGCAGCCAAGACAACAATGGGAAAACTGGACAAGGTTCAGAATATGGAATTAAGGATTGTTCCCGGAGCCATGAAAACCACCCCCATCAGACAGATAGAGAGGATAGCAGATACTGAACCACTCAAACTCAGAAGACAATACAAAACTCTTTTACAGTATGAGAAATTAAAAAGACTTGAAAGTCATCCACTGCATTTTAAATTTCAAGAGAGAACAAAAAACAGACTGAAGAGTCAGAGCCCCAACCACCTTGCTAGAGAACTGTACAGACAGTACAGAGATCTGCTTGAAAGAGATGTAGCACTGTGCGAAAAACTTAGGCAAGAACCATGGACAAGCAAGCCAGAGAAGGCAAATGTAGTCCTAACGGTACCAGGGATCACTTCAAAAGATGCCCAGACGGAGACACAACAGAGAACCCTGTCTCTTGCTATGCTTGATGAGAAGTATCCAAACACCACTTGGACTCAGGTTTTCACCGACAGCTCTTCTACAGAAACACAGAAACAGTCAGAAAGGGGGAGTTGTGGAATATACATTAAACCCCCTAGCAGTAAAGCAGAAACTCTCTACCAGCAGGTGACATCTGCACTAACTTCAGAGCTGAGACAACTGCCCTCCTTTCTGCAGTCCAACATCTCACCAATCAAGAACACAGAGGGCACAAAATTGTTATACTTAGTGACTCACTGTCTGTTCTCAAAGCACTATCAAGCAAAAACAAGACAAACTAATTGCAGATCTAAGGACCAACATTGGCTTACTCTCCAAGGAAGCAGAACTGGTCTTGCAGTGGATACCAGCTCACTGTGGTATTCAAGGAAATGAGAGAGCAGATGAGTTGGCAAAAGCTGGGAGTAATCTTCCACAACCTCATCCACCACACAGCTAAAAGGAAACCAAAACAGCACTAAAGCAGTCTTTCAAGCAGGAGTCGAGAAGGCAGAATGGAGATTACAGACCAGAGTGACAGCATAAACAAACTCAACAGGAAAGAACAAACAATTTTTAGACTTCGTACTGGACACTGTGGTCTTCGAGCACACCTGCACAGGATAGGCATACAAGAATCTGCTGCCTGTGATTGTGGAGCAGAAAGACAAACCCCTGAGCACATACTACAGTACTGCCCTAACCTCTCCCAGCAAAGACTGTGGATCTGGCCCAAGGTAGCCACATTGAAAGAGAAGCTATGGGGGACTCAATGTCTAGCATGACTGATGTCGAACGCAGAAGAAAAATGAGGGTCAGTGGGGGAAAAAAACATTTTTGAAAACTAGCATAGGGTGTGGTGGAATGTGTAAAATTTAGCAGCCATTTTTAAAAAAACGGGGGAAATGCAAACATAATGTTCAAAACACCAGTCATAACTAAGAAGCTAACATCTCAGTATTTTTTTTTGGGTCACTAGGAGAAGTTTAAAAAGTAATCATAATAAAGAAGCTTACCTTTCCTTGCTTAACTATGTAGTATGGATTACTTCTGGAAAAGCCAGCACTTTCCAGCAAATTCATGACATCTGATTTTCTGTGAACAGACAAGTCAAAATATAATATGTCAGGATCACTTGTCTTCCAACACTTTCTAAATGGTTCAGCACCACTTGGTGGTGAACTGATGTATGACAAGTTAGATACTGTGAGGGCCCTTTAGGAGAGAGTGAATAGTGCGGAGGCACAGACAGATCATTATCGTCTAAGGAGAATGGGGATGCGAGGAGTTACCAGGGAATCTTGCCGACACTCAACACTCAGGGGAAGGATGAGACGGATATACAATCAGACAGTTATGGGGACTGTGCACTTATGGGAGTGTCCTGAGTGCTGTGATGTCAATTCTTTATTCAGCATTCCAACACATTCTGAACTATGCATGAAAACATCAACATCAAAACTACTTTATCAAAGACATATTCTTTTGAAATGAATGAAATGTTTGAAACAAACGAGCGTAGACAGAAAATGCGTTTGACGGTGAAGTCTCACTTCCCAGCACAAGATTTTAACCCAAATGGTTCTGCCTCTTTCTGTAGAGCGGCTGCTCTAATTCCAAGAGTGCTGCACAAAGGCAAAGCTCTGTAGCACCAGTGACAACTTGTAAACCAAAGGCGGCAGTCTATCTGAAGTAAGCTCACAACTTTCAGTATACTTGAAAAAAGATTACCCAACAAAACAAAACAAAAAGTACAAGAATTTGTAAGAACACAGTTTAAGTTTAAATGGTTCAAGTCATCACTGTAAGAACTTACGTGACCATTTTCTTGTCTAAAAAATACTGATCTTTTTTGGAGCCAATGACCCTTCTTAACACAACCTCATCTTTCTCAATCTGTGGAGAATTAAATAAATAAATATTAATAATCTCTGCCAACTACTCACATAGAACAGCAATTGTTAAAATAAATAAGATTAATAATGTTTGCTAACCACTGCACACACATCATGGTTTGTTAAAATAAATAAGATTAATGTTTGCTAACCACTACACGTACATCATAGTTTGTTAAAATAAATAAGATTAATGTTTGCTAACCGCTGAACACACATCATGGTTTGTTAAAATAAATAAGATTAATGTTTGCTAACTGCTGCACACACATCATGGTTTGTTAAAATAAATAAGATTCATGTTTGTTGCTAACCACTACACATACATCATGGTTTGTTAAAATAAATAAGATTCATGTTTGCTAACCGCTGCACACACAGTATAGCTCAAGAATAATCTTACTCATTCACTCTAACCATGACCTTGTGCATGGGTCACAGGATACCTTTTAAAAATTTACAAACGAGTATACCAGCGTAAAATTCTATTTCTTAACTATCATATCGTGAGATTCTACTAATTAGGAGTTTGCAGATGAGATGGGCAGAATGATGCAGCCTACCTGTAAACTACAACACAATGAGTAAAACGCACTGTGAAGGGTCGATGCAGAAGAAGCAAAATATTAGAGCTAGTTTTTAAACAAAGCACAACAAAGCTTCTCATTACTGAACAGAAATATGCACTGATAAAACCATCACCTCTCAAAATTGCTAAACAAACATTATTATTATTTATTTCTGTCAAGTAAAAATTCTTCCTTACACCACTGGCGCATATGCTAGACATATTTTTATAGACCAATCAGTCCTCAACGGGTGACATGGCCTAAAACACGCCTGCCGCCTTTACATCCCATGATATTACCCGTTACCCATTTGAGACTGGGATGACCTGGGAGCCAGGTCAATTTTGAACTCAAAAGATCAGCCATGATGCAGATATGAACCCAAGACCTTCGGGTTGGCAGATGATCATCTAGTCACTAAGCCACCATAGCTCCCATTAACATTAACTCATTAAAACCTGGGAATGCAATTATCATTCACTGCATTTCCAGGATTTTAGTGACACAAGAATACAGTGCAACTGAGAATTACCGGCACTCTGTTGTCAGAGTTGTCGAAGATGATCTCCACAAAGGCGCTGATAACTCGTGGCCCTGTGCCTTCATGCAGGAGTGCCTGTCGTTGTTCTGGGCGCATGTGATTGAACTCATCAGACAGAACAAACTGGATAGCTGGAAACAAAAATTAGAAGAAAAAAAGATGAAAGGAGGCTTTAGCATATCTGTGTATCTTTTATAACAATAAAATATAGGCACACACACACAATGGCTTGGAATAAAAGTAGAGTTTATTTTCAACAGAATGAAAACAAAAACATAAATTTAAAAAAATTTAAAATTTTGTACACGGCAGAAAAAGGACAGACAGCAAGAATAAGTTGAGTTAAGAATTGACATCACATCACTCGGGGCATTCCTATATGCGCTTCGTCCCCATCCTCAGCAGCCAGCACAGAGTTTAAATACTAATGGTGCTAGTCGTAGTCCAGTTGTATGTCCATCTTGCTTTTCCTCTGAATATAGTGGGAAGGCCGAACCCTCTGGTCACACCCAGGTGCACCATTCTCTCCAAAGAACTGTAAACATGATTTATGGTGACTAAAGAGACAGGCACAACTATTAGTGGTGTCCCCATACAAAGTAGCTAATAATAAAAAGAAACCATAATACTCACCATAAAAGAAATTACTTTTGCCTGATCCATTTCTTCCAACTGTTTGAAAAACAAACAAAATTAGTACACGATAATTCATTCATTCATTCAGTAGCATGTCCCTCGCGGAACCTCGCTGCCATAACAACCCTCCGGAAAACCTTCCTATCATGAGCAAGATGTCCTGCGTCTGATACACCCATCTGGAGATCATCTGCCACATCCTGCACCCATCTTCTCCTTGGCCTTCCTCTTCCTCTCTTCCCAGGCATATACCCCTCCATTATTGTTCTCTCTAGACCTCCATGACGTTTCAAGTGACCAAAATATTTCAATTTTCTTTGTTTTATTGTCTTTACTAGCCAACCCTCTTCAATATTCAGCTCTTGAAGTATGGATGCATTTGTTCTTTTCTTTACCCAAGATATTCTTAGAACCTGTCTGTAACATTTATATTCAAATGCATTTATGCGCTGTTCCGCTTGTTTAGTAAGTGTCCAGGTCTCACAGGCGTATGTTGCAATGGGAAAGATGCATGCTCTTAAAAATCTGACCTTTGTAATTCTATCTGTACAATTCCATAATTTATTCAGTTGTTTTAGTCTTTGAAGAGCAATTGATAGTCGCCGTTTAATTTCTTTCATTGTGTCACCATTGTTGGTAACCAGTGACCCAAGATATTCGAAATTTTCCACCACTTCCAATCTTTCCTCATTAACATATATTTCCTTCTCCATGGCAGTTTTGTTTGTATGCATTATCTTTGTTTTTGCTGTGTGTTAAGAAATAAGTTATGATTTTCACTATTTCTTTGGAGTGAGGTTAATAAGTTTTCTAAACCATTTTGTGATGTTGATAGTAATACTGTATCATCAGCATAACGAATTTCTGGTATTTCATGACCACCGATGTTTAGGGCATCATATTGTTCCTTGTTTATATCATCTCTTACATTTCTCATTATATTTTCGGCGTACAGGTTGAACAAATACGGTGACAGCACACATCCCTGACGGACTCCTTGCTTGATGCCAAACCAGTCTGATGTCTCTCCATCTATTCTGACTGCTGCTTGTTGGTCTTGATAGAGCATTTTAATGAGCTGCACTATATGTGATGGAAAGCCCATATTCCTCATGATTTCCCAAAGCTTCTGATGTCGTACACAGTCAAATGCTTTTGAATAATCCACAAAACATAAGAACAGATTTACATTAAATTCTCTACACTTCTCTATTATTAAACGCATGTTGAATATATGATCTCTTGTTCACGATAATTACATAACACATTTAAATAACATATACAAATATAAAGAATGCTGGAAGAAAACAACAGACCCCTGCTCCCTAACAAGCATATTGTAAAAGACAACTAATTGGGATGATTTCTTCAAAGTCGAAGTGCACCTGCCTGTAATGCAAGAAACCAACAGCCTGCACATAAAAAAAAAAATCTGTCAAATGGATGTGCAATGCAAAACTCAAGTTCTGGAACAAGACCAAAGATTAAAAATGGATGATATACTAGAAATATATTAGAACTTTCCGCCTGCATTTACAGCAACTAAACATTAAGAAGAAGAAATAAAGGTCAGGCATATATGTTAACAGTGTTTCTATATGTGCCAACAGACTGTTGCAACAAACACCTACTCTGACACAAAAACAGAAAGAACCCATTTCCAGACATTGAAGAGTATCTGGCACATGGTGCTGTCCCTTTAATTTTCTAATTAGGGTCATCAAAATCTGCCCTGATGGAGACACAAACTTATGGCCACTGGGCCAGCAGGCAAGTGTGCTAGCCATTGCATCACGACAGAGGGAATCGCCAGTTTTCAGGTAAAGTGTACAAAAACAGTATAATGGCAGCAGGCTTTAGATCAGGGCTAATCAATTGCTGACCTGCGAATCAATGCCAGTTGAACTGTATTAATGATTTGTCTATTGTGGCATGCCTCGCTGTGGAGGACACGCGTGAGGAGTATCGTCTGGATTTTTTACCAGGTTATGCTGGTGTGTTGGTAAATTAACAGGCGGACAGACTGGCTGGCTCTGCACAGCGTGGTGGAATACTGATGCATGATAAGGCAGACGTGGTAAGTGCCTTGTGGGAGAGCATGTACAGTTTGGACGAGCAGATGGATCACCAGTCTGGTGAGATTGATGCAGGGGGGAGTGACAAGAGGTTGTGGCAGATGCTCGAGGCTCACAGGAAAGGCAAGATGGACATTTAATTAGAATGCTACTGGCACTATGAGCATCGGAACTCTTCGCTGGCTGCTGAAGATGGGGATGGATTGCTTATGGGAATGCCCCAAGTGCTGTGATGTCGGTTCTTGAATTAAATCAATCAAATCAATGATATGTCTATGCAGGGGCTCCGGTCTCTGGTCCCCTAATGATTCGCATTTTGAAAATTGTGGTCCCTGTGTAAATTTAGCCCTGCTTCAGACTGTGTTTCATGTGACTGAAGCATTTGAATTCCCACAGAAATGAAAATGTCTGAGCCCGTCTGCTTAGGTACTCAGACCCTGAAGATCATCAGCATTTTTTCTCATTTAGGTCTATGATATTCAAAGAACTTTCTTGCACGAACCTCCACATTCAAATGCCTGTTTTTTATTTAAAAAAAATTTTTTTTTGGGGGGGGGGGGGGGGGGGTGTTAAGTGACTGAAATAGACTTAATTATAATAATATTAACTCAATGTTTTTAATTATACTAGTATTAATTCTACCTTATTCTAAGCCATAAATTATTAAAATTCAGGCATAATGTATACAGAGCCAAAATATGGCAAAACAAATATGTTCATCCCATAGGATATACACTGCTTTAAAAAAAAAAGGAAAACAGACTAGGAACAAGTAGGAATTGGGGGAAGAAGTTGGTAGGGATAAGAGAGAAATAATGAGGAGACGAGGAAAAAGATCAGAAAATGAAAAGAGAAAATAAGAATGATATGCTAAAACTTAAAAAATATCAAGAAACACAGCAACAGACAATGAACTGCTCTAATTACATTACATTTAGAATAAATGATAACACTTAACAGCATTAATTACAGAGCAATAGGAGAGGTTGAAGATATGGGAACATCAAAAGAAACCATAGGGTGAACCCTGATGAGAGAAGCCAAAGTTGCTGGAGTGAATTCCATCGATGATACTGGAGCGACTGCATAGGAGAGAACAGAAGAGAGAAATAGACTGAAAGCCTTGTGTGACATATAATGACACAACAGGATTTTGAATTAATGAATGAAATCAATTACAGAACAATGGAACCTACCAATAACATTATGCTTTGAACTAAATGGCTCAACCACTGTCTGGTCCCTGTAGCTTCGGAAGCCTTGAATGATAACCTGCAGAAACAAACGTTTAAAACAATTTTATAATACATGTAACTTTCTGTTAGAGGCTGCTTTCCCATTAAAATAATAATCTTAGTCAGTTCTGAGCTAAGCAATAATTGCAGGTGATTAAAGTAGTGAAAATAACAAGTAAGATGGAGTAGATAAAGTAACAATGGAGGGAATGAAGAAAGACAATCAGAGCCAATGCTCTCATGATTAACAGGCTCATGATCACAGAGGGAACAAAAGTCATAGAAGATGCTTTGCAACATCAAGGCCTTGATGAAAGCCACACAGTAATCCCACAAACATAGAGATCTTGATTCAATATTTATACACTAGACTGTACGGACAGTTTCAAAGTGATCATTAAATATAAAAGAATAGGCTATCTTCTGAATAACGGTCCCAAATTATCGAGGCCCGAAAATATACTCTAACAGGGCCTCAGTAACGTGTCAATTACGGACTTCCGGCACCGCCGAGAGTATCTCCCACGCCGTTACGCGCGGCATGGATTGGGGCTAAACTAGATGGCTGGGACTCACAAGCAAATAAAATGAAGGAAGCTGCAAGAGATGCAGTAGCTGCTGCTCGTGAGTCCCAGCCATCTAGTTTAGCCCCAATCCATGCCGCGCGTAACGGCGTGGGAGATACTCTCGGCGGTGGCAGTAGTCGCCGGAAGTGCGCAATTTAGGTCGCCGGAAGTCCGCAACTGACACGTGACTGAGGCCCTGTTAGAGTATATTTTCGGCCTCGATAATTTGGGACTGTTATTCGGAAGATAGCCGAAGAATGAAATATACATTACGTGTTATTCTGCATAACAATAAATTACATTAGACTTTTAGGAAGATATCACAAAAATCACCCCACTTCATTAGGCGTAAGATTTTGTGCCGGCTCCTATTCATGCCTTGACAGTTCCCATGAGCTGTACTATGCTGTAGGGAGTGTTAGGATACGCCTTTCTTCACCATCTACACACAACGTGTGGAAAAGCGGCTCTCAGTTGTTCAAGGCTCTACACAAAAGTGTGCAGCTCTTTTTCGTGGCAGGTGACACTGACCAATTTGTGTGTGTGCACGAGTTTTCAACTAGCTTTCTCTTTTCTGTCAACTAAGTTTCTCATGCAACCGCTACCCTGCTTGTCGCTAACCAATGCTGATAGTTGAAGGAAATTCATGCCGAATGTCAAGTCACCAAGTAAGGCAACAGTGATAGTGATGAAGAGCGAATGCACAACACGAGTAGCACACAGTGTCAGCGGCTCACAATGTGGAATACAGAATTGAAAATAAACCATGAAACTCCGAAACATAAGACAGCCTGTGGGAAATTCTGCGCCTGACAAGATCAGGTGATTTTTGTGATATGTACCGATTATTCTTATGTGGGTTCTGAGGCTCTATTTTCACAATCTGGTTTCCCCATACTTGTTCCATTCCTGTTCTAATGAAAATCAAATTAAATGTCCTTCACTGCCCCATTTGAAAAACTGGTGAACGAACAATTGGTCCGGGAACTATAACACCTCTCCCAAAGCTGTATTTTTCAGCTCTATGAGACTAAAACATTGTTGCTCTAGGATACAAACACTTTAGCATAGACTCTGTTTACTTCAACCATATGTGGGACTGAAAGAGCTAGCATACAGTTATCACATATACTGTAAATGATGAAAGAATTCTTTGAAAAAAAACTGTTCTCTTAGACAATAATCAATGTTTATCACATGCCTCCTGAAACTAATAAACTAAAACCAATAGCACTACTACATCTGGAAGGGCCATCGTCAAGAAGTGGCTAGATGTTCCGATTGTTCGTCTGCAGATCGGAAGGTTTTGGTTTCAGGTCCAGGCAGACCTTTTTTTTAAACTGACCTTGGCGCTCAGGTCGACCCAGCCTTAAATGGTAACATGTAGTTCTGGAAAATAAAGGAGGCCAGCATGATGATGACCGTATCACCCACCGAGTGCTAATTGGTCTATAACATTATATATATATATATATATATATATATATATATATATATATATATATATATATATATATATATATAGGTCAAATCGGACAAGGGTCATTTAAACACTACCTACTATATTTGTGAATCTAATTATTAATTAGTTGTCAGATTGCAAGATAGGGAATTTGTGGGCATAGATACAGTGAAAAAGAGGTGACAGAAAACCTGTTGTTGAGCAGAGTCTACACTCCTGCGGTTACACTTACACACATCAAGTTCAACAACCTGTGGTCTGATAAAACAGATACCAGACGATACACTGATTTTCAGCACATGCCCAGAAAGTAAATGTTATAATAATTAATTTAATAATGATAGTCGGTACATACGAGTGACAATAACGTCATACAATAATCATAGTCACTGATACTATACCCTACCACACCTAAACCCAATAAATACTTAGCAGTAGATAGTTGTTTTTGCAATGTTAGTAAGTGTAACTTGTAACTGACTGTAAGAAATGCAGATGGACAGTCACAACTCAACTCAGTTGAGTTGTTTAACTTGTTAAAAACAAAAATGATTTTCTCATAATATTTCGTCTGGAGAAATAAAATCAGTCCTAAATATTACTTACTTTAGCTAAGCTTAATAAAAACAACCACTATTTAATTACTAAAATAAATCGTTTATATGAAGCTTGCTTATATAAGATTATGCACCTGTGTGTACATTTTGATTGTTGCACATAATATTGATAAACATATAGCACCTCTTACCTGTTTTATATACATTTTATCCGCTGTGATATGGCAATTTACACAGATAAGAACGATACGCACAGCGAAACGTTAGCAAGATGTGTAATGAAAATAAATCACATTATTTTCCTTGGCTTCTCACTCCGGTCCGTTCAGTAAGCCATCACAAATGGCGGCAAATATTGCCATAAAAATAAGCAGCCAGGAAAAATCAAATTCTAGACAAAATTGGCCCCTTCCACAGTTTGTTTGTATTTTCTTTAATAGGATATTTCAAAACTATGCAGGCAAATAAACACAGTGATCCTTTAATCTTGAGTTTTGATTAGGAATTCGGACGCATTTGTGTTACATGCTATAAGCGGTCAGCGTTTGAAGGGTGATAATCAAGAATGGATGATCATATGAGTTGTTTCTCTTAGTAATAAAATTCGGAGCTCAAACCTCGTGTGAAACAATTACTAATCTTCTTTCGTCGTTTCACTGATAACAAGTTGTAGCCCAGTGTCGTGGTTTTCTGTATTTGTCTTGCGCTTCTCGGGTGGCTTGGGTGATGGATTTGTTCATCTTTTTGCAGGTTTCAGCTACACCATTTATCCATATCTTTCTTGGTTTTCCTCTTGTCTTCCTGCCAGATGTCCTGCTGCAAAAAGTCTCATAGGGAGTTTGGGTTTGGAACATTCTCACTAGATGGCTGAACCACTTCATTCTTTGTAATACTATACTTACACAGAACAGATGTTAGCATTTGTTTTACGATTATGGAGCTATTGAAGAAATCAGAGCATATATGGATTTGTCCAGGCCGGGGTGCTTTGATAAATATCCTAGCTAATTTCTATAGTCAGTCAAATAAACAGAATGACGAAATTGCATGTCCTTGCATGGCAGGACAATGATATGGACACAATTATGGAACCTCTAACGTCTTTAGTTATGAGCTTATTCCTCCGACACATAGAGTCGCAAAAAAAAAAAAGAGTGGGTACGAATGAAATTCTCAAGATTATGGATGAAAGAAGAAAGAGAAAGAATGATAAAGAAGAATATTCTAGTATACATAAAGAAATAGTGAACACATGCAGAGAGGCTTAAGAAACCTGGCTGAATCAGATGTACACAGAAATTCGGGCGGGGGGGGGGGGGGGGGGGGGGGGGGGGGGGGGGGGAGGGGGGTTCACAGGAAAGACACACATTCAATGCACCAACAGAATAGTTTATTTAACAGGAAAGAAGGGATGTAACATCACTAGGTGTTTAAGATAGGAAAAAGGTGACATGATTAAAAGATGGACAGAATACAGGGGGATCTGTGTGATGATAACAGACTCGAAGTATATTTGCAAGACAACAGTGAAGGCCCACGAATACTGGCGGCAGAAGTTGAGGATGCATTGCTTCACACGAAAAAAAAGGAAAGGCACCTAGGCCAGACAACATCACATTGGAAGAAATTGAAGCTTTCGGATATTTTGAAACTGAGATAATAATAAAACTGTTAAAGACATTTATAATAGTGGGTACATTTCCAATGACCAAACGATTAGAAAGCCCGGCTCTCATGCGGGAGACCCGGGCTCGATTCCTCGGTAAGGCTGGGGATTTTTCTGTCGCGGGCAATATAAAACCATCACCTGCACAGTCGTGGCGACAGCACTAATATCCAACGGAAAGCTTATCACAGAGATAGAAAACAAAATAGGACATAACAACACAGTGTTTTATAAAATAAGGAATATTTTATGCAATAAATCCATGTCATTGGAGGTTTGGAAATACATTCTTGCCTGCTATATAGAGCCAGTTTTAACATACGGCTGTGAATCTTGGAAGACTAATAAACGCTGAACAGTTTTTTTTGAGGCCTCGGACATGTGGTTTTTACAGAATCATTAGAATTCATTGAACAGCTAAAAAGATCAATCCAGGTGTTTTTAATGAGGCGAGGGATCGAAGATAACTTATCACAAACATCGGCAAGAGACAGTGATCATTTTGTGGTCTTATTATGAAACATCAAGAGGCAGAGGAAGACCGAGAAGAATATGGATTGAGGGAGTCACTGACACCCTGAGACTGCACAACCTCGCGGCATATCAAGGACTGAGCACAGTCAGGCTCATCTGCTGATCGTCTGATGAACTTCAATGCCTAGCGGCATAGGCAGCTATTGACCACACACCAAAAAAAAAAAAGATTATGAGAAGAGAAGCAGTTTTTTTACAATCTTTTGTTATGTCATGGGGGATAGGTTGTCATCATCACACAATCTGATACACACAGTTGCAGATCGCAGATTGTGGAGAGGCATGACGCCCACGATGGTGTGTGTTGACACACACACGAAACAAAACTAGAGCAGGCGGATAGTCGTTCGCAGAAAAAGACGTTAGATACTGGTGGATAAAACACCGTGCAGCTAACTTGATCCTCTCAGTCGTGATTTAAAACAATCGAGCCTGACAGGTCTATGGTTTAGGCGTTGTGATGCCGAGGTGCTGGATACGATCCCATCTGCGTGCGATTTGGTAGCAGACCGCCTTGCGTTGGTTTCGACAGGGGTCACGAGAGCCGACTGTTCAATGCAATGGAAGCTATTGAACATAAAATTGACTAGTAAAATCACAAACAGCCAGAACATACTGGGATTGTTTCTGTAACCTGTTGAGTTGATTTAAGAACCGACATCACAGCATTCAGGCATTCCCATAAGAGCTCCGTTCCCATCTTCAGCAGCTAGCGCAAAGTTCCAGTACCAGTCAGTAGCGGTCTGATTGTGTGCCCGTCCTGCCTTTCATCTAAGCGTCGAGCATCGGCCCGATCCCCTCGTCACCCTTCGCACCAAACTGTGATGATCTATTTGCTCCTCCGAATTGTACATAAGGCCTAAACCAGGTCTGCCTTATTAACTGCATCAACATTCCAGAAAGTTGCGCAATTAGCCAATCTGTCGTCGGTTCATTTCCCAACACACCGTCATACCACCGGAAGAAAAGATCCAGACAAGTACTTCACTTATGACCTCCGAAGCTAAGCATGCCACTCTACACGAAGCACGTCTGTTCTAAACTTCCTCAGCATACTTTAAGTCAGTTACAATCACATATATACATATACATATATACTTGTGTGTGTGTGTGTGTGTGTGCGCGCGCGCGCGCGTGTATGTATCGTGTTCTTCAACCAATATTGTTCTTACATTTATCAGGACTAGCGTCTTGTGTTGGAAACTGAAATACTTTGCCTATATCAAACGCTGCAGTGGGTTTGAAAGAACAGTATCGGAAGGTACGATTCAGTTAAAGAGGGGCAGAGGCCTGGTGGCACGAAGATGGGTACGGACATACAAGATTGGGAAGTTAAAATGTAGGAGAACTGGCGAGAAACCGAGTTTCTTCCAGGCTCGCTGTGATGGGAGCGACGTTCTGTAAAGGACCGGCTTCACGATAATTATGACGAGACCAGTATCTGTTTCAGCTAAAGTGGTTGTTTACAAATCCGAAATATGTGTAAAGACAAAATGTTAAGGATAAAAACGTACTCGTGTAAAGAAAAATAAGACAACGTTCGTTTAATTGCAGGATACAAAATAAATTCTTTCAGCCCCATTTTCAGCCCCCCTTGCTTTCTTAGGTGTACGTTCCACTCAGTTGCGACAGTAACCAAGTCACATAGTTGTTACAGTAACCAAGTCAATTGTGACAGTAACCAAATCACTCAATTATTACAGAAACCAAGTCATTCAATTGTTACAGTAACCAAGTCACTCAACTGTTACAGTAGCCAACTCACTCAACTGTTACAGTAACCAAGTCACTCACTATTGCAGTAACCAAGTCACTCAACAGCTATAGTAACCACTACTGTCTTAGAAGACCCACTACAATGTTGGGGTGTTAAATCTTTGAGTAGCAACCATCTCAACATAAGTTTCTTGTTTGATCTATGCGTTTCTCAAAAACGTCACATAATTAATGCGCCGCGTTCGAGAGACCATGAGACAAAACAACCAGAGTGTAACAAAGTCATTACCCCTAAACCCCTTTTAGTGTTGTGCTGTTTGCACGACAAGACCCCTTATGGCCTTCACCCTTATGGTTAGAACTTTTCCATTGTGCTTAACAAGCACTTATATCCCACCTAAGTCCCTACTCTTGTTTCCCACGTACTTCCAGTCGTCTGACTAGACGGTGGGTGTGATTATATTTACCCCAAAAAAAATTTCTGAAGATATTTTTTGGGGTGGGAAATTTAAAAACACAAACATTTGTGGAATCACAGTGATGACATATAACTTCATTTTTACGTCACATAGCTCTCATTAGAAAAGTGACAATTACCATTTGTACAAGGTCAAAGGGAAGGAATTCAGTAAATTCTTTGCTTTTAATGATTATGACTGACTTTCTACCCCACCAGGACATCACACAAGCGATAAACACCCGAGGTCCCAGAAACCGCGTTAAGCCTTTAGGTCATATTTACATCCAGGCTATATTGCGGACCCTGGCAAGAGCCAGAGCACGGCTTCAAATAATGAAAAATTTCGTCCTAAAAAGGACGAGAAGTACAGTTTGTGTAATTTTATGAATATTTCCCCTTTACGTGGCTGCAAAACTTTTCCTATTTAAACATTCTAGGAATAAAAAAAAAAGTAATTGTTTAGTGGCGTGATGTCATGAAAGCTGGACATCACACCTGCCTGTCTTCTTGGTAGTCTAGAGGGTTGACACCCCCCCCCCAGATTGTATAAAAACTGACATGACTTCAAATTTCTTCTGCTGCTTCTACTAGTTTCTTAGAGTTTCAGAGCAAATTATAAAGACATTAAAAAAAAATTGTTTTTTTTTTAAATATAAAGATTCATGAGGGGGCAAAATGGTTATATGAGGGTTAATAATTTCTACTGCAGTTTCTTTACATGTTGAAATTACATTCTAAAAAGTTATTAAGTAAAAGACTCTTTTCAGGTCTTTGATGCAAATTTTTTAAAGAGAAATGAATTCACTAAAGACAAACTGTGACTAGGAAGC